TGGGACTGGGGGGCCGTTGCCCCCCTCTGGAGGTGCTTGGGTTGCCTTGGGGGGTGGACTACTGGCGGTTGTGAGTGAGGCCCCGTGGGGATCTTGGCAGCGACCATGGGTCACTGCCTGGCAGCTGCATTGCCCCTGGGCGGGTCTGTGTGGGGGCCTGGGGGCTCGGGGTTTGGGGGTGGCTGGCCCCGTGTGGGGATCTGGGCGGGGCCTTAGGGGTCGGGTCCTGACATGTATGCTGCCGGGAAGAAGGCAGGAACATGCAGCAGTGCCTGGCCCAGGTTCCGGGGCCTCAGGTAGACCTTGGCTCCTCTGCCGTTCCATCACAGGGGAGGGGGAGGTCCAGGAGGGGGAGGACCCAACCTTACCTGGATGTCCCATGTCTTATATATTCTGGAAGTTGTGCAAATGCAGGGATGGGCATAGATATTCTGCAGGGGTGGGGCTGGGTTGGTGCCCTCGGACTCCGTGAGGCACTGTAATGCTGCTGCTTTGGGCCCTGGCAGGATGGGCTGGGGTCTCCATGCCCTGGGTGGCAGTTTGACAACAGAGTTGCCTATTGGGGCCAGTAGGGGAGCTGGCTCCCTGGAGGGCTAAGCCCAACCAGCCATTCCTCCCCATCCCCGCATATTTCTCTCCTCCTGCTCCCTCACATCATCACACAAACATGCACATAGGACCTTGGGGGGTGGGCAAGTCAGGGAGTGCGGGCATGGACCCCATTTCCGCATTCCTGTGGCAACCTGCCCCCCAATTTTATTTGCACCTTATGCACTCCCACTGACGACATTCCACACAAACACACACTTAGGGCTTTGGGAGTGAGCACGTTCAACAACATTTGGCAGGGGGATATCTCAGCCACCTCCCGGGTGCCAGTGCCCACTTCCAATTTTAAACCGCACTTAGACACCGAGGGCTGAGGGTGTAAGTGGGGTGGTGCGGTGGCATCAGCTGGCATAGGCCAGATGATGCCCGCACTGCCCGCTCACCACAGCCATGGAATACACCTCATGATCACACAACACTATATTGGAGCAGGCGGAGGGAGACTAGGGGTCTTAGCGCACCTCTGTTGTTGCTTGGCTTCCTGGGGCTGGAGGCTAGGAGGAAGATCTGGCCGTCTGGTTGGGGTCCGGGGTGGTGGGTTGCTGTGCTCAGCGTTGGGCAGTGGAGCCTGCTCATCAGCACCCCAGCAGAAAGGGTCAAACTCTGGTTACCGGTGATGGTTGTACCCAATGTGCAGCAGTACCGGGATCAGAGTGAATAGGGTGTGTATGGGGAGCATGAGTGGGTGTCCGGCGTGCATTTTTGTAAGTCTTGGGTTGTATGTGCATGTGTGAGCATGAGGGAGGGAGTGTGTGACTGTGTTTGTGTATGACTGTATATGTCAGGTGGGGCCTTTGACTCCTCCCCTCTCCTGGAACTTCTTTTGATGATATAGATCTTCGTCCCCCCTCCCCCTGCCACACCTGGTGTGAGGGGTTGTGCCTTGGTCTGCCTGAGTGTTCGTGGCAACCGGGTCTGGGGGTTTAAGATCTTTGGCATCTGCCTGATCAATCCCGGTGGCTGCCTGGTGGGGTCTGGGTCCCTGGGCTCTGCTGGGTCCCCGGCGGGGGTGGTTGCCCCTGGGTCCCGGGTCACTGGGTCCCAGGCTCGGCCGGCTAGGGGGTGGGAGGCTGCAGGCGGGCATGTGGGCTTGCCGCTGATGTCTCCCGGGACTCTGCCGGCGGCTGGTTGTGGCCCCCCGAGGCGATCCTCTGTGCCTCTCGAGGGGGGCGGGGGCCTTTCTGGTTGCAGTCTCCTTGGGGTTCCTGTGTTCTGGGGCAGCGCCTGGATCTCTGGGACTTGGAGCTCCCCGGTCTCCTGCGCATCTTTGGGGGGCGGATCTGTGGTCCCTCACACTCTCTGTTGGACGCTCCTATAGATAAACCTTACATAAACAAGCGCATGTACACACACAGGTGCTCACATGGTGCTCTCAAAAGTATGGGCTTGGGTACGTTAAACACAGGTCTTAAGACTATGGTGGGCACTTAATGCACTGTGATTTATTATCGTGATTCTTCAGTTAAGCAATGTTGATTATATTTCTTCATCAAGTTGACGCAGTGATAGCTTGATCTTGTTGTATTGTTGTTGTGTCCCTTTTTTTTTTTTGGTTTTTTTTTTGCTTTTTTTTTGTCTTTTTCTGCAGGTCCAGAAGCAGACTCTTGTTCATTATTGTTTATTTTTGTGGACACCCCCCCCCCCCCCACCCCCACCCACCGTTTCTTTTCCTTTCTCTTTCACCTCTGTCTCAGTGTCTGGTCGGAATTACAAAGCATTCAAAAACAATAACAATAAAGTTTTAAGTATCAGGTGTGACATTAAAAGCTGACGCTTTGATGCTCCACCTGAGAGTAAATCTGCAAGGCTTGTTACCAGCATTCAGACATCAATTCTGTTTGCTTCACAGCCAGACAGGACACGGTAAAAACAAAAAAAGACAACAAAAAAAAAAAACTAAACACTTTTTTAAATTCTCTTGGTAGTGGTAGTCATCTTATTTTTTTGAGAACTGAATTTGAAAGATAAGGTGAAGTTTATTTAAAAACTAAAATAAATCTCAGAAACAGCAACTAATAGATGTTAAAATGAGAGAAAAACAAGTTCTATTTATACTTGATTCCTGAATAAATGCAGTTGAGATGATAGCAGGTGTGAGTGGCTGAGCAGAATCAGGTGAACTGAGGACACACTGGGAAAGGAAAAATAGCAGAAAACAAATTAACAAGAAACAAGACAAACAGAAACAAAAGTAACTCACACCAAAACGTTGTTACTGATTTAAAAATATGGTATAAATGTGCTCATATATTGGTAAAGACTGTTACTGTGTATTAAATTACACTAGTTTTTTCGTGCTCTATACAAAAGTAGGAAATTACTCCATTAGAAAAAATATATGCATTTTGTTGACTAAAATTGCTTATTTTTATCGACTAAAATGGGACTAAAACTAAAATAAATCTAATGACTGAAATTGGACTAAGACTAAAATTAATTTTTAGCCAAAAGACTAAGACTAAAATATAATTAAAATTTCCTGTCAAAATTAACACTGCGAGAGAGCCAAGTTCCTGTTTTTTCCCACTTTTATAAAATTACAGGTTTTATTCTCAACCAACTTCTGATAAAACAAAATCAAATTAGCTTCCAAACATCACACCATGAGTTATTTTTTATTGTTATGTAACTATTTAAAAAACACGAATGAGTTCCAATAACAAATATTTAGAGGTTCAGATTGGTGTACAGCCATATTTGTACAATCAGAAGCCTCACAGCACTCTGCACACATTTTATTTATTAGACAGACCATGTGCTTTGCCATCTTCCTCCTCTGACATCTGGGCTGCAGCCGAAGCTGGGAGCACGTCGCCTATTATTACCATAACAGATTGCAAGTGTTCCCCAGTGACCCTAATGTACACAAATGTGAGACAACAAAAAATATCTAGTTTTGTTGTTTTTCTCTATTGCAGAAGTGTTTTGTATTCCGTTTTCATCTGTACAACAAGTTGTGGTTTAATACTTTTTAGTTATTTGATGCATCATATTACAGTGTTACAGCAGCTTTAATCATTTTTATCTGATTCACTTTCATTTCAACAGATATCCTCATTTTATTGTTTGAATATTTATCCATCCAACTGAACTCACATACACTCTTCAGCACTGAGAGATTCATAATCTTAATCTTTAATTATTAATCAGGTAATATTCCCATTTTCACATGACTTTAATCCACATCCACCTAACTCCATCCTCTCCTCTTCCTGAATCCACATCTTCCTGTCTGCTTTCCTCAGAAACCTTGTTAACAAGACTGCCGCTGTCTCAGCCTCTGCCAGCAGGGAAATAATAAACAGATTGTTTCTTTGAATCCCCTCAGTGCTAAACATTTTTTTCCTTTTTTAATGGTGCAGTATTCCAGGTTTTCTTGGTCTTTGGTTAGTGGTCTACCTAAACAAGTTCCAGCACCAGTTATTATAGTCATATGGAAGAAGCAAACACACACACACACACACACACACACACACACACACACACACACACACACACACACACACACACACACACACACACACACACACACACACACACACACACACACACACACACACACACACACACACACACACACACCTGACTGCTAAATAACTTTGGGCTTCTCTAGTTTACATGACAAAGTCTTCAATCTGAGAGTTTCAGATTACAGGAAACTTTCCCAAAACCTAAAGTCTGACTTGAGTTTGTGAATTTGTTTAGGTAAAAATAGGTTAGGTTAGGGTAAAAATAATTAGTGATTAAAATTTAAACCAACTTTCATTCTGATTAAAAAACAAAACAAAAAAAGTGAGTTTAAAATAATATGCTTCCTATTTCGGCCCATATTTGTGTTTTGGATCTAATGAAACAAGCAATAACTTTAATGAAAAGTTTCATTTTTAAAATGTATTTAATTTATTTTTTTTACCAAAGTGGGTTAATTATGTTCACTCATTGTCATTAAAATGTTTAGCAAAGAAGCAGCAAATCTGCTGGTAAATACTTCCACCTGGTGGTTGAAGGAATAACATTATCCACACATTAATTCAATCAGGAATCTTTTTCATTGCGTTTACTTTTCTTACCAAATTATTCAACCATTTAATGTTTAAACTTGTTTAGATATCTAAAAGTCTTCTATGTAACATTTGCCTTTCTCTTGTTCTTGCTGACTGCTTCCCTTCAGTAGAATAAAAGGAAGTGCTAGAGAGAACAAAATTAGCAGTGAGGAAGAAGGACTGTTTGACACATTTGAATAACAGCCTTATGAATATTTTTTTCCTGTTCAGCACAAAAATAAAAAGTGGATTATTTTTAATCTCATGAATAAATAACAAGCGACTCAGTCGTATATAATTTCTTGCCATCCAGGAGTGGCACATCCTCCTTTTCTCAGTCATTTTGTGAACAGTTGACACTCATGGCTCCACCTCCACTCTAGAGCCCCATGTGATGCCGTGACAGGGTGAGGCTCTGGGTGCACTTGTTTCTGAAGGTTCAGCAGTGTCAGGAGGCCAGGGTTTGAACGGAGGGAGAGGTGCAGTCCGAATGCAGCCATGGACTACCAGCAGAAACTGGCTGAGAAACTCACCATCCTCAATGAGAGGGGGAACGGCGTGCTGATTCGTATGAACTACATTAAGAAGGTGAGAGGACACGAGCACTCTCAAAGAGGCGAGCAGAAGCGGCAAGAAATAAGGAACTTATTCGTCTCACGAGAACAAACAAATCTATTCACTTGATATGAAAACACAAAGAGATACAGAAAGTTGAAATATCAGTACAAATACAGCTTTTCTGCCAGTCACTTAGTTTTTGTTTTAGAGTAGTTATTTATCTATATTTATGGACCTGTTGGGGCTTTAACTAATGATACAATCTATGTTTTTAAGAAGAAAGTCAGAGCTCAACAGTAAAAATAGCAACATTTCTTTAAAAGATTCGGTGAACTCATACTGCACCTGGACAAATGCACAAAATATCCCCATTTAAGCTAAGCTTTGTTTTATTGTTCTGCTTCTTGTTTTGTTTGCTGGAGTTTCACTGTAGGCAGTTCTGGCTCCAAACTTCAACTGAACTTAATCCTTCCAAGAGGAAGTGCAAACAGGAAGTCAGCATGTGGTGTCTGTCATCTAAAACGTCACTTATTCTGAACTGAAACACTTCCACACAAGAACTCTTGAAAACATTATATAAAAATGACAAAACTGAAAATGAGTAAAAATCCCATAAGTTATTTTGATTTCTGAAATGGTTAACGGCCTGTATTTGTATAGCGCCTTCTGTGGTTCTACAACCCCCCACATTCACACATGTGCACACATTCACGACTATTTCAACAGTTTGACAAAAAATGGAAAATGTTTGGTTTGTTGTTGTTTTAGATATTTGGGAATGTGGGCATTGGTGTGGATGTTTTGTAAACATTCTTTCTATTTATCAAAACAAATAACTTGTTTCACTTTGAGCTTTTACAAAGTCAAGCTGAACGCACAACTTATTTATAAAACTATGACACATTTGAAACTCTGCACCACCCATTATCACCATTATCACTTCGTCACACAATCGAACACATCTTCTTTAATGTTTTTCCTCCTCCAGATCTGTGCAGACTCCAAACTGCGTCCATCCTTCCTCACAGACAAAGCAATGGAACCTGCAATCAAATATATCAACAAGAAGTTTCCCAACATCGACTTCAGAGGAAATAATGTAAGTATGAAACAGTTTATTTGCACTATTTTATTTATTACCACATTTACTGTATTTATATTATGCTTGGTTGCTTTTGATCTTAAAAGTTACATAATTATGGCAACATCCAACAACAGAAACACCTTATTAAACAGTCTTTCACTCTCTTTGAATATATTATGTGTTTATTAATGTCGTCATTTTCAGTTTGAGCTACGTTCTTAATGTAAATGAATCAAACTTGATATGTGCTGTTTTTTGTTTTATTGCAGAACAATCTGACGAATATCCAGCGACAGAAATCTGATATACTCGGAGCCACAAGCAGCTACTACGACTCGTTTATGGATGTCATTGAGTTCAGGGTGATTGTTGTCTAATTAGGATTTCAGATGTCAATATTTTCTGGTTGGACTAGGCATTCATTAAAAACCAAGTTCACTGAGAAACCCTTTTTTACTTGTTATTTTTGAAATTTGATCAGTCACTCGTGAACATAATCTTCTACCCCATTTCCTGCATAAGCCACTGATAGAAAATAGACGAAAAAACGTTTGGATTAGAGAAGCCTTTCAGATCTACATCACATTGCTAAATTAACATTCTGCAACCATTTTGGCTCACGACAGGGAAGGTTGTTGATGGTTTAGCATCCAGGAGCACATCTTGGCTAGTAGAAGCTAACCATTAGCATTAGGAACTCCACAACACCACTGAACTCCTTCAGGCATGTTTACTTATGAAAATAAAACAACAACATCAATGTTGGTATGCAAACAGAGGTCATGGTAGAGTTGTGTTGCTGTTAGCCAATTAGAGGTGAGATGTCAGAATATCTGGAATTATGACTCCAAAACCTGCCTCCTCCTCCTCCTCCTCCTCCTCCTCCTCCTCCTCCTTCTTCTTCTTCTTCTTCTTCTTCTTCTTCTTCTTCTTCTTCTTCTTCTTCTTCTTCTTCTTCTTCTTCTTCTTCTTCTTCTTCTTCTTCTTCTTCTTCTTCTTCTTCTTCTTCTTCTCCTCCTCCTCCCCACTCCTCTGGCTGACTTCTTCCTGAAACAGGAACACAAGAGTTTTTCCCCCAAGAGGCTCACAAGCCATTCATTTACACATACTAGAGACCACTGCAAATGTATAGAAAAACAAGTGAACTTGGTCTTTATACATTCACAAATAACTAAATTTTGATGTTTTAGAAATATGCTAATGATCACTAATCATTCAGATTTCTTCATAAATAAATGTTGTTTCTTGTTCCTAAATGTGTTTTTGCTTTTTTTTTCAGGATCATGTTTATGAGTTGCTGAACACCATAGATGCCTGTCAGTGCTTCTTTGATATTGTAAGTAAATTTTGTAGGAATAAAACTGCTTTGAATAAAAAAAAAACATCAGTATGCAGCACATTCATCCTACTCTCTCCAAACCCCAACAATTAAAAGTTGAACTACATTATTTCTAATGTTTTACTGCAGATTCATTGATTTAATTCCCCTCCATGCAAAAAAAGTGTTTAAGAGGAATTTTAAATAATGAAACTAAGGTTTTCATTTCAGTCTCTGAACTTTGAATTCACCAAGAACTACTTGGACCTGATCATCACCTACACATCTGTTATCATCACTCTGTCCCGCATCGATGACAAGAAGGTCCTGGTGGGGATGTTTAACTGTGCCCATGAGATGACCAACGGATGCAGGTGAGGGAAAACTCAACCTGTTTGAGCTTATCCTTCTGCAACTTTCTATTATAGATGAAAGAATGTGAGGTCTTAGAGCTTATTGTTGTTATTGCTTTTAACATTATTATGGCACTAGGAAGAGATCATATCTTAATTAGAGTGTATTGATTTTTAAACCTTGGAAATTAGATTTGATTTTACACCCTAAACTTTAAACTTATTGCCTAAAACCAATTAGAACAAACAAAATGCTTTTATTTTACTGTTTGATTGTAAAATACTGAAATCCCATGACACATGCAGTTTAGGTTTGAGGTTTACATGAAAATAGAGACACACAGGACCAACAACCATGCATGCACACTCACACTTAACAATTTAAAGAAACCAGTCACCCTGACATCATGTTTTTGAACTGTGGGAAGAAGCTGGGCTACCCGGAGAGAGCCCACGTGTGCGCAGGGAGAACATGCAAACTCCACACAGAAAGACCCCAGGCCTTGCTGTAAGGCAACAGCACTAACCACTGCACCATTGTGCCGCTAGGTTCTCTTTTTTCAGTCATTATTGTTTAGAAACCCCATCGGCTCATTCCTAATTCTTTTAAAGAGTATTTTGGTGGTTTGTAGTTGTTCCACTTTGCAGGATATTTGTTTGAACAAACAGCAGGATGTTTGTCTTAATTTAAGCAATGAACCTAAAACAAAAACATTTTACACTTGACGTGGAGCTCGCATTTGACTAAAGAGAGACCACACAGAGCCAACCTAATTGTCTTACAAGTATTCCTGTCGTTCAAACAAATGCTGTTTTAAATCTTCTCTCCAGACGCCGCAGCTTTTGCTTGATTTCCTGTTTCTTGTTTTAATTTAAAATTTCTTGTGAATCTTTTTACCCACATCTATAGCGACCCCTCCTACCCCCGATTGGGCCAGATGTTTGTGGAATACGAGCATCCATGGAAGAAGCTCACTGAGGAGTTTGGCCCTCATACCAGAGTAAATCGAACTCAAATATGTTTACCTGTTCTGAGCAGGGACAATATGCATTAGATTTGGATGCAGCATTGGCCTGATTTCTCTAATTTTCTTCTCTTGCGCTTTTTTTAAATTTCAGTCCGTTACAGCAGCGTTGCTCTCGCTGAAGATGGTTTATCCACGCAGGAATCTGCCTGCAGAGCAATGGCGGAGTGCCCAGCTCCTCAACTTACTCAGTGCTCCTGCTACCATGATGGATCCGGCCTGCTGTGACACAGTGAGTTCACTTCTGCATGTTTACTTCTGCATCTCAGAGGAGGAGAGAGAAGTTTTTGAAGTTAGACAAGATTGTTTTCCTTTAAGGCATAAACAATTATTGGACAATGAGTGGCATTGTTATATGTTGTTATGGTAGAAATAAATGTATATTACTCCATAAATGTAGTAAATTTGTAAAGTCAATTCAACATTTCATTTCTTACAGTGTATTTTTTGTCATTTTCAACAGAAAATTAATAAAATTAACTAATTTTATGAGCTAAACTTTAGTATACTTGCCTGGATGAAATAACAACAACAAAGATACAGAATTTGCATGGAGCCATAAAGAGAACCAGATTTTCCAAAAATCTTCATCAAATCTTACCTTGATAATTGTCTGTATTTTTATGCTGATTTTTAGTTAACCATAAAAACTATCATGTAAAAAATGAATATTTGGAAACAAAACATCAAAACGTTTTACTGAACAATATAGAAACTAAACCACATCTTTTTAGGTCTTTTCTAAACACTTTTCACTGCAAGCATAATGCTTGTGATAAAAACAGAATGTTAAACATGGTTGATTGTCCTGTAAGTTTGTCATGGATTTTATCAATATGTTTATCAATAACCCATTACCTATAGTGAAGAGAGAAGGAGACATAGAGCAGACAAGTCAAACAGTTATAACTGTGGCAAGATGCCGAAGCAAATGCCCCGAACATCTGTTCACAGACTTTATTTATAGAGAGGAAGATAAGAAAGGAGGAGTGAGGTCATTGTGTGAGAGAGGGAGAGTCAGTGTGTGTATGAAAACAAGAATGTGTGTGTGTGTGTGTGTGTGTGTGTGTGTGTGTGTGTGTGTGTGTGTGTGTGTGTGTGTGTGTGTGTGTGTATGAGAGGATGCAGAGAGGCATAGATCAGTACATATTACATCCAGTTGGTTGATTAATATACATAATTAATATACATAGATTTTTCCACAACAAAGTTAAAGCAAATTTCAAGCATTACCAAAATATTTTCATTAATGACCCTGGTATTTTCTACAGATGGCGTGTGAATACCTGCCACTGGACGTGATGGAGCGTTGGATCATTAGTATGTATTTTTGTTCCAGAAATCCCACTTTGTCAAAGTAAAACAACTTGGAGGCTCTGCTACTTTGTTTCAGACACACACACACACACACACACCTATCAGCAGTGGTGAAACTCAAAGCTCAAATTCAAATAAACGGATTCAGTTCAATTACATCAGTTACTGATTTTATTCATTCTGGTTACACTTTCAAAACATTTTAATTCATTTTTACTAACATATCAAGTTCTAGCCTGGCAAGCCGTACTATATATGTGGATTTTTCTTTTATCTGATGGTACCATCTTGCTTCTGTCGCTGTGATTGGCCTGCCAAACCGATAGAACACTGTTGATTGGTAAGGCACAATAATGCTCAGGCCTGCTGAGACTCTAATGGAGAGTGTCTAGGTCGACCTGAAGAGCAAAATCATTTTACTTTGGCTACAGTCTAGTCTAGATTTCTAGACTAATTAAGTTCTGCATTTGTATTCAATTGAAAACCAATTTCAGAACGTTTTGTTAAAGAAGGAAAGAGCGGAGAGAAGCCCAAATTCTCCAGTTAATGTAACCTGACCTCTAACAACGATGCCTCCAGGCCTTTAGATCTATATCATGACCACCATTAACTTCCCTTCCTTGCAGTTGGCTTCCTGTTGTGCCACAACAGCCTGAACTCAAACCAGGCATCTCTGGAGCTGTGGAAGATGGGTCTACGGAGCGGCATTTACCTCACCCTCATCAGAGACGAAGTCCTCAACATACACAAAGTCTCTGAGGACCTCCTAGACTCCTTCAAAGGGTACACAACCTTTATTCTCTTCACACTGCGGATTTTGGATGTAGGATTTAAACCTCTTTCTCAAACATCCTGACACCTTAATTTATCATCTGGTAGTTCTGATTATCTGTTGGCCTGATGAATTCTAACACGTTTTAGGAGGGATTCATTTTACATAAAGTCATTTGATTCCAAATGTCTTTTTTTTTTTGTTGTTGTTGTAAAGGGTTTAATTTACATGTTATTTAATGAACCATGAGACATGAGATTCCATAGCAAATATGGAATCAATCTAATGGATCTTTGGGCACTTTAACCAGAAGATTGGAACTTTTTATTACAGGGATTATGTAACACTTCGTATTGACTGAGAGACAACAGAAGAGAGAGTCAAGTTTTAAAAGTTTAAAGATTTATGTAAGGCTTGACTCGAGCTGAGCTGAACCGGAGCGAGAGTTCGGATTGTAGCTTGTGTTTTGACCCAAGCGCGGAGTGACTGACGCCAGGCAGATTGACATGCGTTTGCTCTAGGAGTCAAACCATACAAAGCTGGTGAGCACGGCGGTTCCAAAAGGAAACAAGCTGACTTACTGTGAGTCGGCAGGGTGAGTGGCTCGGGCTGATCTGGTCAGAACGGGTTGAATGATCGGGTTGGGTTTGGTCAGAACTCGGAGCATAGTTCGGTTAGAATCGATGACTGAGTGGTTTGGTGTTGAGTCGTACTTCCTTATGTAGACATGGCGGGTGACGTGGGCCGGAAGGCTGGCGCTGGGGATGCTGGGTAGTGGAGTTCGGTTGGGCTGCGTGTGTGTGGGATCCTCCGGGGGAGGATGTCGTGGGTTGTGAAGGAGGCAGCATGACAATTTATTACTAAACAAATTAAAACTAGACTAACTTTAAACACTAAATGTATGGTGTAACTAAGGTGAAGTGAGATGGAGAATGGTGTAGTGTGGAATGTTGTTCAGAACCAGCAAATCCGGAGAAACGATTAGTTCTGATGGGAGTGAAGGTGATGTCTTCGCGCTAAGCTTTGATTCAGAGATTCATAAACACATAAGACACCATTCTGTCGGTCTACGTACCCTTGGCGGAAGTCCCCATCTAGATCAGGAGGTGTAGGGGTCCAGCTTGGACCTTTCTGGAGCCGAAGCCTGTAGAATAGCCGCGGCAGCTGACCAGACCGGTCTTTGAGATATTTCCGGGTCACGACAGTTTATCGGCATCTAACAAGACCCAAAATGGGGTCGTGATGGTTCAGCTGTTATTCTGAAAGGAACCGATGCAGCAGGTGGAACGGCACAGATTTATCCAGCTTGCCGTTGGTTCTTTCGGCTGAAGATGAAAGTTACGGATTGGCCACTCCCAAAACTTCTCTCGAACGCTTTGAACTGCGTTAAAGATAGTTTTATACTTTGGATGCTTTGGTTTATGGTCGAATGAAAAGATGACAGATTTACCAAGCACTACCAAAACTATGCCTCTGTCAGATCTGGCAGATTCTGATTGGATCAGTAAAAGCAATGTGTCATGTTTTAATGCTACGTGTGATCAGTCTCTTGTGGAAACATTTAAAGTTATATTACTTATTATATTCTACAGGATTATAATAAAGTAATTAATATTTTGATTTCACAAATTGAATAAAGTAATTAATATTTTGATTTCACAAATTGGTTCTCATTTTATTATTGACTAACACTTTGTTTGATTAGCTTATTAAAAATAGAGTTCTTTGATTTATTAAAAAGAGAGAGTCCTTTGTCTTCATTCTTCTCTTTGTCTTGAAAGGAAAACAGTTTAGGAGCAGATGCATGAGACCTTGAGCAATATCTCATGCAGATTAGTTCTTGCTGAGGAGAGGGGGGAAATGACTTTTAGGTGGAAAACAGTCATTTCATTCCGTTACATAGTTGTTTATTTAAACAATGTTTTTTTACATAAAAAAACACAACTAACTTTGATTAAAGATTCATTTATTGCTTAATGAAAAACAATCTTACATTTTGTTTCATAAATAAATAAAACAAAATAAACAAGCAATTACGAAGAACAATGAAATAATGGGAGCAATGAGAGATGATTCATAGCTCCATGCTGAAAGGATGTTATTAATAACAGAGCATTTCTCATAAAAATTTTTATTTTCTTCTAATAGAGGCTAACACTAACAATATAAAAAGTAAAACAAACATCAAATCAGTGGGTTTTATTAGAGCCCAAGTTAATTTCCTAATGCATTCTTTGTTTCTTTTCATATCAGATACCACAAGCGCATTGCTGATATCAAGGAATGCCGTGAGCATGTTTTAGCCAACTGGTAAAAGTGATTTATTTGCTTTTTTTTAGAAACATTCAATGACTTACTGTTAGTTTAAAGTGGAAACATGTGTTTGTATGTAATTTTTCATACATTTTCAGTGGAGCTATGCACAGAGAGAGGAGGAATTTTTTGAGAGGAGCTCTGAAGGAATTATGTAAAGTTCTAGAGGATGAACCAGGTCTTCTGGGACCAAAGGTATAAGAACTGTGAGAACTTTAGATAAAACACTGGATGAGTTTACTTTATTTACTTTATTTTATTAGTCCTTGTAGCTGATCCAGCTTCTGCCACTTCCTAAATCCTTCCTTCTTTCCATTTCTGGGAATCCTGAAGGCTCTGTTTGTCTTCATGGCATTGTCGTTTTCCCGCGACGAGGTCCTGTGGCTCGTCAGACACTCTGAAAATATGCCAAAGATCAAGATGCCAGAAGACTACAATGACAAGTAGGTCATTAGGATGTTAAGTTTCACTTTTGGTTTCACTAATGGACACTGGGGGGTGCTAAAAGCAACTCAAAACTGCATAGCACCCCTTTAAAGTCACCTAAACAAGGATTCTGAGTTTAATATTTATTGTTTTTGGCGATTTTTAGTCAGATGGCTGAATTGCTGTTCTGTATGGAGAAGTTACGAGGGCTAATGAAAAAGCACAGCCATGTAGTTCAGCGTTATCATGTTCAGTACCTGGCTCAGTTTGATGCTTTGCTTCTGAATGACACCATACAGGTATGTGAACTTTACAAAATCAAATATAGACTACCGTATGAATAACAATGAATGATTCTCCTGGAGGTTTATCTTAACCTAACACTGTTTTTCAGAACATGTATGTTTGTCCAGAAGAGGAGTCTGTCCTGTTTAGCTCCTTTGTCTCAACTCTCTCTGCTCTCTCCATTAAACAAGGTAACAGAACAATAAATATCGCATTCAAACTTATGTCCTGGAAGCACTGTTACCTCACCCGGATGTGGGTCACTGTGCCCCACTCTGAAGCCAGGCCTAGATTTAGGGCACGTTGGCTGGGTTTTCACCCATTAAGACTCAAAGAGGAGACGTGGGTCCCCCTTCCCACAAGCTCACCACTCATAGGAGGGGCCAAAGAGGTTGGGTGAAGTGCGAGATTGGCAGTAGCTGAGGTCGGCGACCTTGGCGGTCTGATCCTGGGCTAAAGAGGCTAGCTATTGGGCCGTGGAATGTCACCTCTCTGCTGGGAAAGGAGCCTGAGTTGATGTGTGAGGTTGAAAGATTCTGGCTAGAAATTTTTGGACTCACCTTGATGCATTTGCTCTGGCTCCAGAACCAGTCTCCTTGAGAGGAGATGGATACTCTTCCACTCTGGAGTTGGGCCCCCTGACAGGTGCCGAGCAGGGGTGGGCGTCTTGTTGCCTGTACCTGTACCTTTTGCCAGTGAATGAGAGGGTAGCCTCCCTCTGCCTACGGAGGACGGGTCCTGACTGTGGTTTGTGCTTATGCACCAAGCTGCAGCCCAGACTGCTCCCCCCCCCCCCCCCCCCCCCCCCCCCCCCCCGATCTGAATTCAAGATGTGTTTTGCTATTGGCCTTCTGTGCACGTCATGGATTGTCCATAATGAACATCATCTTTAAGCATAAAGGTGCCCATATGTACTCGTGGCACCAGGATACCTTAGGTCACTTGTCCTAGATTCTCAGGTTTAAAGGAGGGGAGGAGCTGTTGACTGACTGCTACCTAAGTTGGCTTCGGTGGTAGGGGAGGCTCGGGTAGATACGCTGCTCCTCCACATCGAGAGGAGCCTCCTTGAGGCAGGTCCTTTTTCCTGACCTGGAGAAGGCCTTCTACTCTTTCTGATTCAAGACCATGGTCTCAGATTTTGTAAATACTGATCTCAAAACTTTAGCATTTAGTTGTTTCGTGTTCAAATTTACCATTACAGATTGCACTACTAATAAATTAATATTCTCTTTAGTGGAAAACAAAGAAGAATTTGATTTCAGAGCTCTCAGAATGGACTGGCTGAGATTACAGGTTAATATTTTTATATCATTCTACTTCTTTTGCCATTAATCACCAATTCACAACCTCATAAGTTCTGTTTGTTTGTGTTTGTCTTTAGGCCTACACGAGCGTGGCTAAGGCCCTTCTTCCAATGAAAGACTACACTGACCTGCCAAAGGTGATGAACTTGATCCAGTTTCACACCAGAATGGTGGACAGTCTGGAAGATATGCTACATGAGACATCTGAGCTCTCCATCCTCTGGTCAGTCTTTTAAAAATATATTTACATATTTATACTTTGAAATAGATTTTATGAATCCTTGTTTACATATTTTCCTCTTTTGTCCAGTTTCTACCCCCGTGTCTTTGAGAAAATGTTCAACCAGAGCAGTGAGGAGATGCCCATGAAGCGATACCTCATGTCCTTCCCCTTGGCCTGTTCTCACTTTAGTCAGTGTGCACACACTCTTTGTCCAGAAGAGGTCAGTGTTATTCTGATCACCACTTGTTGGCATTTTATTTAGTATGCACTTAGATTATTCTGTTTATATGTATTTCTGTGTTCACCTGTGCTTCTTTCTGTGCAGAATCTCCTTTATTGCTTCTCTTGTTGTTTTGCCTTTGTTTGTGCAGGCAGACATATTGGAGAAGCGAAGTCTGAGCCTGTGTGTGACCTTCTTGGACCAAATAGCTAAGCAGACCAGTGGTGTTATGTTAGAGATATGTGCTGAGCAGCGTAATCTCAATGACCAGGTGGAGTCTGGGTCTATTTAAACATTTGGAAACCTAATTATCCAGCAGGAATGGGATTTTTACTCAGTCCGGATCCAGAAATAATCAGAGCAGCTTCAGCTTCTGTGTATTTAGCTGGAGGCAGAGTGGAGAAATCCGAATGCAATGATAAGAAAAGACTCAAACTTTAGAGATGATGCCTCCTGAGCACTGGTTCTAGATCAGTTTAATAAAATTATACTTTTTAAGTTAGTACTTGTGATTCATTTAAAACCTGAATGTTTTTTGCTATATTTACTCATCTGGGTTTAACTCTTCCACCTTTCTTTCTCTCTATCCATTCATTCCGGGGTAACCCTGAAGCTGCTGCCCAAGCATTGTGCCGAGACCATCAGCGCTGCTCGCCACAGAAAGCAAAAGAAGCAGTTGCCAAAAAATAAAGAAGTCCAGAAGGAGAAACCTGGAGCTGAGAGTCTGAGAAAAAATCGAATCATAGAAACAAAGTCAGATTTGCCTTTATTTATTTATTTTTTTCTCCCTTATTATAATTTTCTCGTCTTGTTTTGCAGCCTAACTTGTAATAATTATTCAGTTTGATTCTTGAATCTGACGTCTGAAAAATTCTTGGTTTATTACATTAAGAACAGCCAGATCTGACACGCAGAGAAAACATGTCATTTGTTTGATTTTGAAAAGCCCATCATTTCCGTTTTGCTCAATAAAACACTCTAGTATGCATTTTTGAAATAAAGGACACTTGAATTAGTTGAAGTTGATGGAATCTAATCCGCCCAAGAAACATTGGAAACCTCCTCTTACTACACAAAAGCTCATTCGACACTTTTATTTACTTCTGTGTTTTCATTATCTTTTTTCCATATATGGCGGCACTTTCAGAGCTGTAATCCTGTCCTTTCTCTTCTGGTTTCCTCCCTTTGGCCTTCAGTTCTCTGATGTCTTTATGCAGAGGAACATAAATGAATACTGAAGTCATTTTCAAAGTATTTATCCGTACTTTGTGTCTCGCCTTTCTCTTTTTTGTCTGCCAGTATGGACAAGTTGCACCTGACTCTGACAGAGCTCAGTTCCTCCTACACTCTCTGCACGGACTTCACTGTCTTCAACCACATTGTTGTTCCCACAGAGTTCCTGCTTTCTCACCTCGAGATGCGTCTTTCTGAGTAAGATGGGGGGATTTTTATATTTCTGTCAAAGTAATGCAGAGTATACAATACATGTTGGAGCTTCAGAATATATAATAAATTCATAATTTGCATATTTTCTGTTCAGTGAGAAGCACTGAGGATATTTTCATGAAATATCAGAAATGTGCCATTTAAAGAGCCTGCAATTCCATTGCATGATGATCAATATTGTTGTAAATTACCTAACTAATCTGCATGAAATCTCTTTCTGTTTTGCTTCCAAAAATCAAAGTCACTTAGAAAATAAACAGAAGCTGTAGAATGTGCTGCCTTGTAGGTCCCTACTGCCTCTGTAATCACCCCATGTGTGAATTAAAACCAACCACCTGGTTTCTGTCAGTGTTTGGTTTTAGCATTTATGTGTCTCAAACGAAGGGTTTCTAAAGTCCCTGTTTGTGAAGTTACGAGTGGGGAAAATTGCATAGAAACGCTCTAAAGTTGAGGAGCAGCAGCTCAACATCGACTCCGATATCAGAGCTTCTCAGCTTACAGCAGCCTGAGTGGAGGATGGGTGGGCGTGGCCAGTTCCAGCTTGTTTTCTCAAAGTGACAGAGCCCTGAAATCTATTCTGGAAGGTACTGAAAATGTCGAGAATTAAATAGCTGAAAAAGCTTTATGAGAGAGAGATTTTTTGCAAAGACGTTCATAAATAACTTTTGTGTCAAGCGTAGAACTATTAGAACCTAAGAAAGGGCTTTAAACACAAAAAGTACAATTGCGACACAACACTCCAACCTGTTGGATATATTCACACTTTTCTCAGCATGATTCTTTATTTTTTAAGTTTTCTTTTATCTTTGCCCTTCAAATAATCAGAGGAATCTTGAGGAACTCGGCTCTTGTGAAACATCTTCATCACTAGAAAGCCTTTGTGTCGATCCACTTTACAAATCTGAGCAAAGACTCAACCTGTCGCTCCTCAGCTCAGTCTCATTTCAGTATTAACAGCTGTTTAGATTAGTGTCTGGTCCCAGGATGAGCTCATGATACTCTGCATATGTTCTTTTTAGTCTCTTTGTCTTATTTGACGTGTATCTGCTCTGCCACATTAAATTTAATGTTCTCGAGTAGCAGCATTCCTGCTAGGGATCTGATTAGTCCCTATGTGGCTGACACTGTAAATAAAACAAAAAGAGAAACCTGATGAAAACACAAATAAATCTGCAGTGAAGCCTTGCAGTTATAAAACCCGAATTGTCTCATCACCACGGCTCATTTAACCTGCTCTAAAACCTCGTCTGAACTCTGTCAGCCTGGTGACAAGTGACTTTGTCAAAACATTTTCCTCCAGGATCATCTTAAAAATGATCAATTACAACCAGACCACCCAGGAGATAGCACGTCCCACCGACCTGCTGGCTGGGATCAGGACCTACACAACCAGTCTGCACAACCTCTCCTGCTACATTAACGTGGACATCACACGGCTGATGAAGAATGTCCTGCTGCAGCAAACACAGCCGTTAGACTCCAATGGAGGCCCAACCATTACACACCTCTACACAACCTGGTGGGTCATTAAATACTCATGCATTCAGCTATTTATACACTAACAAACACTTATGGCATATAAGCATTAGAAGAAAGCACAGCTGCTCAAGCATTTAACACAAAATGTTGCAGCATTGACAAGTACATCGTCTAGAGCTTGCTTTGCCCCATTTCCTGCCTCTCTGTGTTAAGCAGAGGAACACTCTCTTTAATTGCCCTCTTTATTTCAAATTCTAAGGGTTAAAGACACTCATTTGTCTGTACTAAATATGCTTTCTGCACCTTAGGTACCTGGAGGCCCTTCTGCGTCAGGCAAGCGGCACCCTCATCGTTCACTGTCCCACGATGCAGTGCTTTGTCAGCCAGACGACCGACAGTGAACTCACATTTAGAGCAGAGGAGTTCTCAGATGTATCAGGTCAGCACTGAAGCTGAGATAAAAAATAATGCTCATTGTGTCAGCTAGGCTTGGGCGGTATCCAAATTTTCATACCATCTAACTTCCTCCACATTTTACCATGGTGCACGATCCTACCGGGACTAATTTCAAAATGATGACATAAGCCTCAAAGTGGAATCACCAAACAGTTTGTTTGGACCTTCACTGTTAAGAAACTGAATACCAAACACTATAACTAAAACAATAACAACCTAACACACATCATTTTAACAAGTTAATAAAAACACAGCTTATAAAAAAGATTTTTTGCCTGGAAAAACCAGTATGTTTACCTTTTCTGGTTTAATTTTAGGACACTGTGGACCCACTAATGAAAACCCGCTTCCATTAGCTTGTGGCACCAACATACAGGTACTTTGTGGCTAGTTGCGACATCTAGGGAAGTTTGGCTGCATATTTTCTACCAGAGAAGTGCACTATCGTCTTTAACAACAGGCTCTAGAAAGACATCTGCTATTTCAGCCACGGCTCGCTCTGTGCCGACGGAGCATGCGTCTTTTGTTGATCTTTTATTTGTACAAACTGCATCCTCAGTGTTTACTGGCTCTCCTTTTAAGTTTGCATCATACCTGAAATACTTCAAGGCTGCAGAAGTTGTGCTGTTTTTAGACACCAAGTTACCTGGTGCGCGAGCTGCAATTTTTCTCTCGGCGCTCGCCGTCTCCAAGCAGTTAAAGCCGGGGTTCGTAGCATAATGTCATCAAGGAGAGAATGAGATCATTTTGAAAATTGAATGGATTCCCCTCCTGTCATGGTCTGGGGAACACGTCTAACCCAAGACATGCAGAATCACAACAACTCACGGATTGATGGTAAAAAATAATATTTATTTATAAACGGGAACTGAAGGTGCACTGGTAAGTCCAGTGGGAATCGAGAAACGGGAGTGTCTAAGGAGGGGAGAGCAGATACAGGTGAGTCCAGGGAGGTAAGTCTTAACTTGGTGGGTGCAGAGAAAAGACTTACTGGGAGATGGGAAAGCACCGGAATGAGGGAGGGCAGGTTGAGAGCCGGGGTGTATCCAAGTGAGGGGTTCAGGAGAGGGAGCGTGAGGAGGGCAAGAGAGCGGGTTGGTTAGGAGGAATGGAGAATGGTTGAGAGCTGCGTCCAGAAGTCCTATGAAGCATGGGTGAGTAATCCTGAGAAGTCGCTGAATCAGAGACGTTCCAACAACCTGGAGACGGGTAATCACAAAATCCAAAGTTCACAATAGTCCAAGAAACTCTAGAGTACAAATACCAAGTAACACTAGGAGGCTAGAAACTACCAAGCTGTAATAATCATCCGGCGTTGAGGTGTGTTCTCCATCCTCCATAAGTAGCCGGGCCCGCTGATTGCCAACAAGATGCAGCTGAACCTCCCTCTCCTGCAACACACAGCTCAGAGGTGGAATATTGAGAGGAGTACTCACCCTGGCTCATGACAGTACCCCTTCTGGAAGCAGTTGAAAGCCACTCCTCATACTGCACACAAATAGCTTTGTAGCTCTAACGGCGGGCCTATGTGGCTGCATGTTTTTGATATGTTCCTGCTCAGACACACCTGATTCTAACTGCTGAATTATCTCCTCAGGCTTCATCTGGTACAGCAGGAGCTGCTAATCACTCGTTTTAATGAAATCTGCAGTTTTCAAGCAGGACAATATCTAAAACTGTCAGGAATCTGGTACTCGTGATGCTAGCACAACGGTGCTAATGCTACAACCTTACATCCAATGTATCGCCACGCTAGTCACTTATCTCCAACCAATGTTGTGCCTGAAGGAGTTCATTGAATAAGAATAGTTTTTTCAGTCAATTAATCAAATTTTATTTGTGTAGCACCGTTCACTGATTTAACAGAAGCCCAAGGCGCTGAACATGACATAAAAACAATAAAAGAGAAAAAAGACAATAAAACAGGTTATAAACCACATAAAAAAGTAACTAAAATGATAAGACAGACACAATAAAAACAGATATGATAAAAGATTAAGAATCTAAAAAATCCATGTTACGTAAAAGCCAAACGATAAAAAGAGTCTTCAATCTACTCTTGAAGACCTGCAGTGATGGGGTCTATTTGACAGCAAGTGGGAGCTCATTCTGTAGTGTTGGAGCAAGGACTGAAAAGGCCCTATCACCTCTTGTTTTGAACATGTAGTTTGTGGGACGATGAGCAAATCCTGATCAGCCGAGCGAGGGGAGCATGTGGGAGCATGCATCTGTAGCAACCCAGCAGGTTCTCACAACTTGGTTTATGTGGCTGTCAACGTTACGTGTGAACGCTAAAGTGAGTGCGCTCATTTTGGGTCCAGCTGATTTTTTTCCTACTTGAAAGTTGGAATTTCTAAGTATCAAATACAAATGGAACACATCATTTATACAGGGAAGACATCAAATCTGGAAACACCAGTCACAGACTGTCACCAGTTATTTGTATGCTTATTCTTTTGAGGCTGGTTGTTGCCCTTAATGAAACACAATGACAGGCAATGAATTTTATAACTTTGGGCAATAAAGTCAGAAGACACATTCACAAAATTTGAAAAGTGACTTAATGAAACAATAATTATTGTTTACAAGTTTTGTACTTTGAGGAGCATCCTTGTTTCCTACCTCAGCCTGGTTCTTCCCTTAGATTGTTTAATAATTTCTCGTTTTATAAAAGCTATTCTAACAGCAAGTGTTCCCCCAAGTCTTTGAGAATTTACTGTAAGGGCAAAAGCTGCAGCTGGGTTTGAGTGTGGACTGAAGGAGTGGCAATAATTGGAAAATAACTTTTCTGAGGGTATTAGCATTTTTGAAACTGTGAACTTAGTTAAATAATTTTAATTATGAACCATGAGCTGTACCAGTTCATTTAAAAATGTTTGAACTGCACTTTGAACTAGTTCGTATTTATGACATTTTCCATCACTGGATCTGATACAAAGAGATTAATCCCTTTTTGTTCCGCTCCCTCCTCTTCCACAGTTGACAGACTGACATTAATTCAGTGCAGTTTGAGTTGGTATTCAAGCTAGCTTGGTGCGCTAAGGTGACTGTGCGTCATGGTGTCACCCCACAGTACATGCTGGGAACTGGGGCACATTCTCATTGATTGACAGCTTCCGCTTGTGTATACACAATCCTATTGGTCAACGATCTAGGCTTGTGTTAATGATTCACGTTGCTGTAGAGACCCGGGGAGGGACTTAGGGGATATAAATTATGAAATTGTATCTACTTTATATAATAGAACAAGGTCAGGTTGTCATTTTTAAGTAACATTTTTTATTTTATTTAAAATTTTTAAACTATGTAGGTTACCCCTGTTTTAACTGAGTTGCTTTCAGGTACCCGTTTGTTATCATACTCACATAGAAAACACTCTACAGCTGCTTATTGCCAGTTGTGCCTCTGCATCACAGCTGCCAAGTTTAATTTTAGCCGAGTAACCAAGCTGAGTGAGGCCTGGGACTTGGCTGCACTCAGGAATCTGCCTATGTCTATCTAAACCTGGCAGTGCAGAGGATTGTAACCACTGCACTTGCTGACAGCATGGCTGCTTCAGGGATCTTTTAGGTTTAATGATGATTGATTAACATTTAGCTCAGGTCAAGAGAGGTAACTCCTCTCGAGGAAGAAACACAGAAAATGAAAACAAATGAAGACTAACAAACCCAAAATAATACCTGCATGAGACATTCCTAAAAATGTATAACCCTGAGTCTAATTACACCACCAAGGAACATTTTTGCCTGATTATTTCACCATTAAAACTGGATTATTAACTACCTTATAAATAAAACCCAAACTGGTCTGCATTATTCTGAGACTTCTCCCAGTTTGCACCAACAGAACCGGAGGATGGGGTGTGTGTGTGTGTGTGTGTGTGGGGGGGGGGGGGGGGGGTATCCAATCCAAAATATCAGAAATGTACCAGCACGGCAATGACTTGTCCATCGACAATAAAACTCGTTTTAGTATCAACCATGAGAACACTTTTTCTATTCAAACCTCATTTTCATTTCCTCTGTGGGTCATCAATGGCCTTCTTCAATAAATTTACTTGTTTAAGTTAAAAAATCACCAAGTCTTTCCACGTTGTCATGACAACACATCCTGCAATGGCTATAAGTCCAGCTGATGGATGAAATTAATGCTTTATAAAGATGTCCTTGACGTTTAAAACTGAGTGAGCTTTTGACCAAGTATCATAAAATATCTGATGTGCTGAAAGTTTTTTGAACAATAAGTTCACTACGGAACCTTATTTTTTTAATGTATTTTTTTTAAATACAATCAGACACTCTTAGTTACACATGCAGAAAATTAAAATAGTCTTCTACTCGTATTTTCTGCATTAGCTGCCAATAGAAAATTGACAGGGAAACACTTGGGTCAGATAAAGCCACTCAGATCTACGTCACACTGTCAATTAGCCTTCACAGACTAGCCAATTTGTGGCAGCTTCACATCTGGATTGGCCCATTCCGGTCTTGGTTGGGTCAGCCCACCCCAGTGTGGCATGTTTTTGTGCACTTCCTTCTCAGAGACACGGATTTCTCAGAGAATCTGGGCGGGGCAAAAGAAGCACGGATAAGTCAGCGGTGTCCTCCTTTTAATAGTTAACAAAGGCAGCTGTGAGTAACATTGTTTTTGGAGGCTCTGACGTGAAGCACACAGCTTCTTACTCTCAATGAGGAGCGGTGCTGCTGTGGGCCCCTTTCACAGCAGACTGTCCTCGCACTCCTGCGGCAAGAACGGCAGGTCCGAGCTGTAGTCAGAGAAAATGAATCACGCATGCAGGAGGCTGCTGCTGGCTGATTCTACCCACCAATCAGAGGTTACCTCTACAGTCAGCTGATCACAGAATATGCACAGATTACCCAGATGTGAATCCACCATTGGTGTTGCAACCGGGGATGGCTGTGTTGAAGTTAACCGTTAGCATGACCGTTAGCTAGTTATTTGTGGAGATAAAACATCACCGTAGCAGAGCAAACACACTCAGTGGTAGATTTGTGCTGCTGTTAGCCAATCAGGAGTAAGATTTTGAAATATTGTGAATAGTAATGAGTAAAATCCAAATTCTGCTGTTTTTTTCTACCCTCTCCTTCAGCTGACTTTACTTCCTGAAGCGTTAGAGCTTTTTTCCATAGAGACTGTCTCACTAGGCATTGGTTATTAAAGACCAGAGCACATGTATTTAAAATAAACTCATGAATGAGAGTTTAAATGAAGAATTGTAGGCATGAGAAAGCTGAGTTTGAATGTTTGAGTACTCTTTTTTTTCCTTTCTGCTGAGACATGGTGGTAAATTGAACGGGTACACAAATGTTCCTGTTTAATTATCGTGAACCCACAAGTTCAAGAAATGACTCACCGTTTGCATGAGCCCAACTCGCAGATCTCTGTCTTCCTGCTAAGAGCTGGTATTGAAGCTCAGGAGGACGTGAAGTGTGGATTGAGTTGTATTTATTTTACACCTCTTGTCCTGCAGGTTATTCTCACACTGCCTGAATTACGTGGACTTTAGCATTGCTTATTACCTAGTCCACTCTTCCATCTGCTAAGGCTGTACTTGTGTTTCTCCTCCACAAAGTTCCACCTCCACATTATCTCACAGCAGCATCAGAGCTCCTCACAAATGCTAAAGTTACTCCCTTATGTGTACCGTTTCAGGCACACACACACACACACACACACACAGACCCTTATGCTTCAATAATCGCCTCCACACATTGCCTATATTTACTCTGCAGCGAGGCATCTGCCTGCTTTGTCGTGACTCAACCCATTAACCGACTCCCCTCTAATCCACACGTTATTCATTTAGAATTGGTCACAAGTCAAGCTGAGTCACAGGTCTAATAGCTGCAGCTTCATTGGTTCATTGCTTAAACTAAACTCACCCATCAATATGAATGACCTTTTGAGAGGGACTGCAGCTTTTTTTGTTTTTTAGAATTTCTGTTAAAACATCTAGCTGATTGATCTCTCTGTGACTGATGACTTCTGAACAGAGTTGCAAGCCCTGGCAGAACTAATTGGTCCATACGGCATGAAGTTTCTGGGTGAGAACCTGATGTGGCACATCACCTCTCAAGTCAGCGAACTCAAGGTGCAGTATGATGCAAACGGCACACAATCATATTCAGTGATGTTGGGTTTTGGTGTTATCTTTAGTTCATCTCGGGTATTTGTTGTTTTCTGGAGTTTAGGATGTGGGTTCTTTGAGTTCAGACTTTTTTTTCTCAGCTCCAGTCACACAGCTGTCATTTTAGCATCACTTCTCTGTATAAGGTCCTCAGTTTCACCACCTCAGAGTCATGTCATCCTGCCGTCTTCTCTGTGTTTATCTGCTCTGTGTGCTTCTCTTAATCTCTTCATGTAAGTTTAGCTGCTGCATGGCCAGCTTTTATATTCAGTTTTATTATTATTTTAGTCTTTTGTCCATTTGGGTCTTCTTCATCCAAGCGTGCATCTTGAAACTGACAGTAAACTGGCAAAGAATAGTTTTTAATCTGAACCTATTTCCTTACAGACTCTAGCTAAAAATAAAGAGGTTTTTCCCGGTCTACAGTAGTGTGTAGCATCTGCTTTCCAGTGCAAAAACCACTGATGGTGTAAGAATGAACACACTCTTGTTTGTATAAAATAAAATAATATTAACCCATCTTTCAAGAATAAAACCTGCACATTTAAGTGCATTCTTTTTTAAAAATAAAATGTCACCTTTAGAAGAGGGAGGTGTGTGTGTGTGTGTGTGTGTGTGTGTGTGTGTGTGTGTGTGTGTGTGTGTGTGTGATTAAAACAGTATTTGTCCTCTTTAAAAAAAATCACATCTGAGACCCAGTAAGGATGCCCCCCACCCTTACACACTCCACACACACACACATGCAGAACTATCTTTGATCAGCTGCTCTGAGATGGAAAACATCTCACTGTGCTCTCTCCAGAGTTAATCAGCTTAGAGTTTAAGGCTACCCTGGGATTTGTTTTGAACCTACTTCCTGCAACAGACCACATGAATTACTTATATGGACAAATATGTGGTTAAGTCCACTAAGTGATCCATTCTGATGAGTGAAGGTAAATTCCACTCATCGTCTTGAATTAGGAGAGAATAAGCAACATCCATCCATGCATTATCTAAACCACTTCCTCCTCAATAGGGTTGCAGGGAGTTGGTGCCTAATTCCAGCTGTCAACGGGCGAGAGGCGGGGGGACACCCTGGGCATGTCTCATGTCCATCACGAGACAACTGATCACACACTCACTCATGTCTAGAGATAATTAGTGTCTCTAATTAACCTAATATGCATGTTTTTGGCCTGCAAGACCAAACCAGTGCCCACAGAAGGAGTGAGCAATGTATAAAACTTAATTCTGCTGTGCATTTCTCACCACACTGACAACCCTGACTGAAGGAAAGACTGTGGTCTTCATCACAGTCACAGCAGTTATAGCAGTCAGCTGAAGGTGGCTTCTATCCCTTGTTCCTCTTCTCTCTACTCTGTCAGAAAATGGTGATTGAGAACATGGACGTCCTGGTGCAGATGAAAAACAACTTTGACAAGCCAGAGGAAATGACCATTCTAAAAAAGAGGCTGACAGGTGAGAAGTGGTGAGGAAGAAATACCACGAGAAAATGATGAGACAAAGAGATGTGAAGACAGCAGTGACAGGTTGAGAAGTTATAGAAAAAGGGAAACAGATGAAACAGTACGAGAGCACAGAGTATCACTACTGCAGAGGCTTCCAAACACATTTTTGCTTTTCTTAATATTTCCTTGCTAACGTTCAATCCGATTCTAAGATGGAAACTGCTCCAAATATAAAGAAGATCTGTTATCAATTAATATTCAACACACATTGAAATTTTGTGCAAAAGAAACGAATGATAAAACACTGAGGTTTAAAGAAGCTTTGTTCTCTACTGCTGTTTCAAAGTTATTTTTTGTATGTCTCCTTTTTCCATGATTAGTTTAACAATAAGAATTTAATCATTTAAAACTTTAGGGTATGTGTGGAACTGGATCTTCATAATTGAGATGACTATTTTAACATTTTTAGCTCAGTCCCTTTTTGTCCAACAAGACAACAGTGTTATTGTCTATTAATGCAGCCATATCAGTTAAACATTGATACAGTCTACAGAAAGAGATTTCATTCTAATCCTGGAGTGCATAGTGTTGAACTCGCAGGATTTGTAGGAATACTGATGGGTTTCATCTGATCTTCTAGGTGGAGAGAATGTCCTGAAGAGGACAACCATCATCGGGGTGATTTTGTCCTTTAGACTGATGGTGCAGGACTGTCTGCAAGATGTAAGATCCAACAGGATTGTGGTGATTACTCAACTGACCTTTATTGGAAGTTTACTACGTGAAGTGCCTTGAGACGACTCTTGTCGTGATTTGGCGCTATACAAATAAACTTGAATTGAATTGAATTGGTACAAATAATCATAGTGGGGTGTGAAAGGCTGGCAGGTTTATTATTAATAATAATAATAATAATAATAATAATAATAATAATAATAATAATAATAATAATAATAATAATAATAATAATAATAATATTTTGTTGTTGTGTTACATTAAATTATAGTCAACATATCTCAGAACAAATACATTTTCTTTGCTTTGTTGTTGATGTAGTTGACATTAAAGAGATTAGCAGGTGATTTGCAAAGTTTCTGAAATATATCACTTCACATTTAAAGAAAGAAGATGACACAACCTAAAATCAAGAAGCTGCATCAGTTATTCCAGCATCCCGTCAGAGGGTGTGCTCTGTTGATCTCATAAAAAAATGCAGAAAAGGTCATTTAAAGGAGACACATTATATAAAACTCACCTTTTACATCTTTTTGTGCCACTATGTGAGTCTCTGTTTCCGCTATAAACACCTAAACCTATTTCAAATGTGGAAGCCGTCCATTGATTTTGTTGTCGCTGTTTGGAGTTAGGAATTATGTGTCTAAAATAAGCTGTTTTAAAATGGAATAGAATAAAACCACCTCTCACAAGCAAAATAGAGGTGCTTTTGGAGTAACAGCTGGTCTACTCTAAGCCCCTCCCAGAAATCAGAGCTTCTCAGCTTATAGCAGTCCGAGCGATAGAGCGGTGGATGTAGCCAACTTCAGCTTGTTTTCTCAACAAGAGTCCTGAAATGGCTCATTCTGAAAGGACTGAAGCTGTCAAGAATAAAACTGCTGAAATTGTGAGAGGGATTTTATTCAAAGTACTTCCTAAACATGATTTCTATTGACCATAGGACTATTATAACTAAAGAAAAATGTCACAACATGGCCACTTTTATAACAAAAGGAAGGAAGTTACATTTAACGGTTGTAGTAAAAGATCAAATCAAACTTTACATCTTCTAAAGTGATTCAACATTTTCCAATTATCATTATTTAAACAATTTCAGCAAATATGTGAACCAAAGTTAATATTAACATTGTAGACAATATGAAGACATGTTATACTTCACAGCAAAGACAGCTCCAGTTTCAGTTTACTTGGCGTAAACAAAAACAATATTTGTGACTTAATGAGTAAATGTGAACTTGAAAACCTCTGATTTGATATTGTAATGCACATCAATGACACAGCACTCAGTTTTACTAAGAAAAGAATAAAACATTAACATTAAAGGTGCTTAGCTAAATTTAGCACATTAAGCTAAAGCACATAAATCTGTGTATCTTCTGTGATCGAGTAAAATTGTCTCATATAATTGTCTATAATCCTCAGATCCTGGGGAAACATTGTCCCTTTCTGTTGAAGCCCATCAAGTGCCTCAGAGACTTTATCACCCCTGATGCTGACATCCAGGTAAACACAGCTGTTATAGATCAAAACAAACACCAAAACTCTAAAAGCTGGACAAATCACTCAAAGGAATAAAGCAGCATGAATACCAACATCTCAAAAGAACATGAAAAGTTAGCTTTTTAAGTTGCTGCCTTTGATCCAGTTTATTTACTTGTTGAGGAAGCATCTTGTTGTCCTCTGAGGTTATGAATGCAGAACATATCGTGCACATGAGTCCTTGTAGAGCAGACGGATGGTATGCATCAGTTTGGGAGCTTCTGAGATTCAGCTCTTCTGTACCCACCAAAAATGAATTCCTAATCTCCCTCTGGAGCAATCTGTGTGACTGTGACTCATGAACTCTCCCTCCCTTTACTTACGTCTGGTTTCTGAGTGAGGCATGACAGCCGTGCCACAGCCCAGGCCAGGATAACCCCAAAGACGTCAGCAACCCTTCTCATGCCTCCGTGAGAGAGACTCTGATTGCTGCTGCAGCTTTGCTCTCTGAACCACATCAGTGGAAACATTTTGTAGACAGGCCAACCATGCATGCAACCAGAAATAGGGCAAGATCAAAAGTTGTGTTGATACAAAGACACCTCACAGTGATTTAGAGACACTCTTTAGACAATTCACCTAGTAGAGCAGTAGTATTTATTTATTTATTTATTACTATAGCAAAGGAAGTGCGGCTACAGTATGCAGCTCATTTTGAAGTGGTAATACGATATAATGAGTCACAAGAAATAAAATACATTCAAATTATAATAAATTTCTGAACCTCACATTTTAGCCTGCATTTTCATAATGCAAAGCACAGAAGCAGACTTATTATTCATTTTTGGTCTACGGCTCTCCTCGTTGCTTTGTAAACATGCAGCTCAACCACAAATAGTTTGAGATGAAGTTTAGCTGCAGCAAATTGTCAAAAACTCACAATAAACTACAAAGAAATTGTAGAAAGATGGGATATTAATGACAAAATGACAAAACCCCTTCCCTTTTTGGAAGAGAGTCTGTAACTCAGGACGATTTCATCATAGGAAACATTAATTTAAATTTAAATCACCGAAAGATGGACCTTTAGTGACCAAACTAGCCTTTTGATATCATTACTGGTGTGTATGCCACTGTAGATCAACGTTTCTTTAGATTTCTGAAGAATTTACAGTAAAATCTTGAACTGATACCATGCACTCTTGCTTTTGAGTCAAAGTCAAAGTTTTCCAGCAAACTTACTCATCTTATTCTTACAATCTTCACACATCTTCTTCTGAGATTTTTTTTCTTTTCCCCCAGTGTCTCACACAGAAGGACAGTATTCTCAAGAAATTCCCAGATTACATCCTAAAAATCCCAATCACAGAAACTGGAGGGGGATTTTTAATGTGTCATGTGACTTACTAGATTTCTTTTTTAAGTTTTGTTTTTACACGGGAATTATTATTATTATTTTTATTTTATATTTTTGCTTAATTTGTGCATTTCCCTCTGCCTTGTGCATCAGACTAAGTTAGCAATGAGTAATTAACACAGGTTACCCTAATGATCGACTTGAAGCAGTTTTATCATTTCTTTCCATATTTTAAAACTTAGGCTCTTTGCATCAAGCCTTAAAGGTGTGGTTCACTGAAACCCCATTTTTAATTATTATTTCTGATTATAATCAGTCACTGTCAGTTTTTAATGCAGGCTAAACATGTAGATAGTCTCCTACACCTATCTCCTGCATTAGCTTCTGCTGGAAAATAGACATGAAAATCTAGGATTAGAAAAGCCTGACAGATCTATCTCACACTGTCACTTAACATCCATGGACTCACCCATCTTGACTCACGACGAGGAACGCTGTTGTTGGCTTAGCGCTCAAGAAACAGCAGCAAATGTCCCGACTAGTTTGAGCTAACCATTAGCATTGGCGACTTCACCGCACGGCAGAAGTTCCTCCAGGCTTGAGTTATTTGTGGAGATTAAAACATCCATGTTGCAAGTTAATTATCCAATCCGAGGTGAGATGACCAAATATCAGGAAATAAGAATCCAAAACGTAACTGGTAGTTACTGGAAATGGTGCACAGGGTATTCATTCCTACTAGACACCACTGCAAATAGATTGATTAAACGAGTGATCCACACTTCTATAATACTTTGGGGTTTAAAGAAGAAAGCTGATTGGATATGTTTTTTAGTGGAACCCTTCAAAATGTTGTCTTTCTATATGATCTCACAGGTAACTCTGAATGTCTTTGAGCTGGCGTCTGCTGCAGGACTAAAGTGTAATATTGATCCTGACCTCGTTGTGGCCATCCGAAATATGAAAACAGGTAAACTAAAAAGATTGTGCAGTTTGAATTACTAATCATACATTTGTGATCTTTTATTTTATTTCTTACTAAAACTGCCAGATAACACATCATCTGAAGAGGAGCATAAGATCTCCCGTTTGCTGCTCATCTACATCGCCGTGTCCCTGCCCATTCTGGCTCTGGATCCCAACTCCTTCTACAACCAAGTGCATGGAGGTGCATAATCAGTCGTAGAGCCTGCTTGACAGTAATTATCCTCCAGACAGCTAACGCTAATCAGCTGTTCCTCCAGCCATTATTTACCAGCTGCTGATAGTGTGTATAAAAAAGGCACTCCACCCTGAAACACTGGCATCATACTTTCCAGTCTGACACGGTCCGAAGCGAGGCACGTCGGCTAATTAGAAACACGTTTTTGTTGATGGACTTTTGTTTACAGATAACTCTGGCTGACGTGCATCAATTCACTTACTACTTACGTTGGCCCGAGCTCTTTCCAGCTTCCAGCCTAGACTCAAACATTATGAACAGCTAATGGCCAAGATTTCTATCAGAGCATAAAGTGGCATTTGTCTCAGATTATTTGCATTGCCTTTATTTTCCGTTGATATATTTAAAATAAATTAACCCCGTGAGCCTGAGGAAATAATGTCCAGCATGCTTCCTCTTTAGTGTTACAGATGATTAAGTGCATTTCTCCAGTCGCACCAGCCATAAAAACATCCTCTGTTACTAAGTACAGGACCTGCTTTTCCACGCTGATTTTCTGTGATGTTTTTTTTTTTTTAGGCCACAACAACAACATCCACTGTTTAGCTACAGCCATCAACCAGCTGGCTGCTGCCATGTTCACTGTACAGAACAAGAACATTGAGCAGCAGCTGAAAGAGTTTCTCTTGGTGAGTATAAACACTTTTGTGACCGTTTAGTGAAAATAAAGTTCTCTTTTTACCAGTGTCTCAAAGCCACACATCTAAGGGCAAATGCTCATTAATGCAAACACCAAATGTTTGGTTCTATGCTTGATTCATGCAGAGCTTTTTACAATGTGCTGAATAGCAAAACTTCTGCCTTATTTGCATGAAATGTAATAGTTTTATGTATCTAAAATGTACTCAAATAAATTAAGTGTACAAGAAAAATATCTACTCCCCTGAATGTTTATCCTTAACACCTGCTCACTGCGTAAAGTTACAGTTCACTTATTTAGGTTTAGAACCATTAATTTCTTACCTGTTGTTCTTCGAATGGCCTCAGTTAGGACAAAGATTAGCTCTGACTGAACTGATGAGCTAACAACTAAATACAATGTGACCTGTTACAACATATCATAGAAAATGTCCAAAACTGTCCAGAAGCTCAAACAAAGTATAGTTGCTGATAGGGGTTGTATCAACAAGTTCACTAGTCGACTTCACTGCTCTGTAGTGACTTTTTATGACTTTCATAGACTAGTCGCTGTCATGTGATATTGACCGACAAGATGCAGTCCTTGGAAAAGACAGCAGGTGACGAGCCCCTACGCGTTGGGAGTCGACGCACTGTGCCAGAGAATCGGTATCTGACGCCCACAGTAAAACGGACATTTGACCGAATTGTGACCTTTACCCTCTTGCAATTTAACCTTCCCCTCACCCCCATCCTAACCTTAACCAGGTTTTGCATGCAAAGCTCTGATCGTTGACACGCTCCAGACATCTGCGTCCTGAGCACGGCCACCGTAACATTATCAAATTAGGTGTCGCCACCTCAAAAACAAATTCATCATGTCGGCTCATTTCCTTTTATGTTTTCTGTCTTTTATTTGTGCCTGATGCTTTTCGCTGCTGTGGAGCGGGGCGCATCACCTGTTTTGACCTGTGATTTCACCCCACCGGTGCGGCCGGCGCGCAGCGCGCACTCCGCTGTTTTTGCGGTCGGTAGATCTTTTAGAACTGCAGTTCAAAGGTAATTCATAAGGTGAATATATATGAAGCCACGTAGCAGCTTTTCTTTAGGATTGAGAGGAGATGCAGGAAGATAATAAACAGAGTGTAAGGCCTGACTCGAGCTGAGCTGAACCGGAGCGAGAGTTCGGGATGTAGCATGTTTTAAACCCAAGCGCGGAGTGACTGACGCCGGGCAGACTGACACGCGGTTTGATCTAGGAGTCAACCGTATAATGACTGGAGAGCACGGCGACTCCAAAAGGTAACAAGCTGACTTACTTTGAGTCGGCAGGGTGAGTAGCACGGGCTGATCTGGTCAGAACGGGCTGAGTGATCGGGTTGGATCTGGTCGGAACTCGGAGCACAGTTCGGTTAGAACGATGACTGAGTGGTTTGGCGTTGAGCTGTACTTCCTTCTGTAGGTGTGGCGGGTGACGTGGGCCGGAAGACTGGCGCTGGGAATGCTGGGTAGTGGAGTTGGGTTGGCCTGAGTGGGTGTGTGGTCCTCCCCCGGAGGATGTCGAGGGTTGTGAATGGGGCAGTGTTACACAGAGACAAGACAGAAAAATAGTCAAATAAAAACAAGTTAGTTTTTGTACCTGGTGGTTGCTACAAACAGGCACCATTGAAGGTAATCAGAAGTGAGGAACAGAAAATGAAATAATTATTTTAATGTTTGGAGCAGAAACTCTGAGAGGCTGCAGGTGCATCAGTGAGTTTGCAGCCGCTGCGTAGGGGGAGGGGGGAGAGGGCTGAAGCAGGGGAACAGTAAAGATGCAGAAACTACCATTGTTAAAAGAAATGTGTTTAATTTTGAAAATGTGGGCTCAATTTTATTTGTCAAAAACTCCAGCGACCCAACCCGCTTCAGTTGTATGATGTCATCAACGACTAATCAAATTTGACTCGATTTTCAATACTTGACTGTCGACTTTAAAACAAATTAAGTCATGCAGGCCCTAGTTCCTGTGGATGTGGATGAGGTTCTGGTGGTCCGTCCAAATGGTAAATGGGTCCGGGGTACCCAACAACCACTGCCGCCATTCCTCCAAGGCCCATTTAATGGCCAGGAGCTCCCAGTCGCGTATGATCTAAGCTCCAGCTCTAACAGAAAGAAGCTCCCAAAGCTCGACATCGCTCCAGTTTGCCATTTCAATTGGTTCTGTTTAAAAAAAGCTAAACTTACACAACTACCATACCATACCATACAATACCATACCATACCATACCATACCATACCATACCATAGTTTATTTATATAGCACATTTAAAACGCAGCATGGGAGCTGCCTAAAGTGCTGCACAGGCTAAACCAAAGCACAACCAATCTAAGCAACTAAAACAGAAGATAAAAATAGGGATCAAAAACAGATAAAACACGAGGAATACTAAGAACACATTAAAACAATAAAAGAATAAAACACTAAAACGAGTCACTGTCTAAAAGCCAAATCATAGAACTGGGTTTTTAAACGAGATTTAAAAACCGCCAGGGATGGATTCTGCCAAACTGTAATGGGTAACGAGTTCCACAGCTTTGGGGCAGCATGTACAAATGCTCGTTCACCCCATGATTTGTGTCGCAATCCGGGGCGTGCAATGCAGCAGAAGGTCAGATGACCTAAACGTGCGCGGGAGTGAGCAGGTCAGAGAGATAGGGAGGTGCCAGGTCATTGAGTGCTTTAAATGCAAAAGTCAATAACTTAAACTGTACTCGGAAAATGACAGGGATTCAGTGAAGATGTGCCAGGACAAGGGTAATATTGCTACGTCGGTGCGTATTTGTCAAGACCCTGGCAGCAGCGTTCTGGACGACCTGCAGCCGATTCAGGGCAGAGACCGGAGCACCAACTAGGAGGGCGTTTGCATAGTCCAGGCGAGAGGTAATGAAGGCATGGATGGCATGGAAGGCAGTTTATCTGTCGGGCCATTGAGAGTTCAGCATCCAGCTTTACCCCGAGACTTGTCAGGCACTGTTTGGGGTTGAAGGTTAAAAGGTCACAAACAGGGTCAGTGACATGGTGGTTGCGGGAGTCAAAGACAATAGACTCAGTCTTCCAAAGTAGCTAACTCTGTGGATACGTTTAGCTGTAAATAACCATAGAATGTGATAATTCTGTAAGTTTAAAAAAAATTTAAATGTTGAAATTCTTTCTTTTAGGGAGGAAAAACACTTTCTGACTGGCACCTCTCAGCCTAGCCAGTACCTCAACTAATCTATGTTTCTCCTAACTGAGGCCAGTCAAAGAGCTTTCTGCAACAGGTTACAATGTCATCATTACTACTCTTTTGACAGAAACATATTGAAAGCAACGTAAATGCTGAAAATCACTCATCTATTTTCACAGGTCATTTTCAGATTGTAAAAGGAACAATTTATTAAATAGTAATTTTTTGATTTAAAAATAATCAAACATTAATTTTGATGTGCACTCCACTGGGTTTATGTTTACATCTACCGGCCAATAGAGGGCACCACTGCAGGTTGCCAAACAGTTTGTTCGGCACAGCGAGGCTGGCGCTGTGGAAAATGGTGGACTTGGCAGGTCAAGCAGCTGCTTCTGAGCCCTGAAGATGTCGTTATCATTCTCAGAAGAGGAGCGACCATAAAAGATCTAAAACCAGAGTGAGTTTAGGTGAAGCCTACAACAGATGAACCCAGATTTAAAAATTTCAGGTATCGGCAACAAACCTGGAATCCCGATGGCTGGAAACCTTGTTTGGCTGTTGCAGCTACAACCTCCACACACTAGATGTCGCTTTGGCATTCGTGTTCCACATTCCACCTTTAAAGATCTAATATTGTGATCGGAGTTGTCCGGTTAGAGTGTCTTTTAGTTAAAGAACTTTTTCAAGACACTGCCAGACCTTTGGCCCTTTTGAGATCATAAGCAGCATCATAAAAGTATTGCAGATGTTAGATTTGTCTCCTTTTAACTCCTTGTCCTTCCACAGCTGGCCTCCTCCACTCTGCTCCAGCTGGGACAAAATGTGGAAAAAGTGGAGGTCAAAAACAGAGAGTCTGTCTACCTGCTCCTGGATATGGTAGGATTACTACAAATTACTGATTTAAAAAAACTCCTGATCATCTTTGATGACTCAGTAGGAAATAAATGAATGAGTGACATTGAATTAATTGAAGAAGTTTTGTAATGAGATTAATTTATTCACTTACAGAGAAAATAAAGTGTTCTGTATAACTGATGCAAAAATAAATTAGATCAAACATACTTTGTTTTTCCATTTGTTACTTGAAAGTACTCAAATGTGTTTTAATTCATTGATTTTTGCAGATTGTGGAGGAGTCTCCATTCTTGAGCCAGGACATGTTGGAGAGCTGCTTCCCGTACGTTCTCCTCCGAAACGCCTACAGGGAGGTGCACAAGGCCTTCGTCATCACTGTGACCTGAAAACTTTTTCTCTAAATACGTTATTGACTCAAATTGTTATTCATATCTCACTTGGATGCTTTTATTTTATTTTTCCTGTTATGCAGACTCCAAATGGCCTTTCATGTGAGTGAGCATGTTTCACATAAACAAAGATCAAACTTCATGCATTAGATCTGTGCAGCTTCCATCAGCACCTTGAAGCTGTGTAGTTTTACTAATGGAAACTTAAATGATTAAAATCAAAAATACATTTAGCAAAATCTGCCTTTAGATATTAACCATTCACCCATAAAGTTCGAAAAATCATCACACCTCCATCACTAACATATTTAGTATTTTCCTCATTTTTGGTATTATTATCAATTAATAAAAATAATGTTTTTTTTTCTTTGGTCTGAAATCAACATATTATGTCTCTGCATGAAAAGTCTTCTCTTTCTCATATTTGATGAAGAATTTAGATGAAGCACTTGAGTTTTTCATGAGTAAAAGTTGCTGCTAATTTTAGGCAAACCTTTTTATGATAATCTTTTGCACAGAGTGCTGTCTCTTCAGTCCTTGTCCTCAACGGGCTCTCCCGCTCGCATTCAACCAGTGCTGCAGCGGCTGCGTGCACTCAGTTACCACTCTGGAGATGCATCTGTGAAGAGTGTGTGCATGCATCTGTGTAGGTGTGTGTATTCAAGGTTTCTGTATATTTGCTTCCTCAAGAGGCTCAAGAGGTTGAATTCCCACTCAGGGAAAATTTGTCTTAAAACGTTCACAAAAACAAAAAATATGTGACAACAGAATAAAAAATACTAAACCACAAGTTTGATGACCACAGCAGTGATGCAAATGTTTGACCTGTGGATATAAATAAGACACACACTCATCCTTTTGTTGTGCTTTATTAGTGCTCAGAGAGCAGTTTGCAACCTCAGGTGGGAGGTTGGCTTTTGTTGTTTTATCATTATCCAATAAAACATCTAAAAGCAAGTTAAGGGGGCATTCATCCCTCTTCTGTTCAGAATTCCTCTGCTTTATTTTGTTTTTAATCAGGAGGATTTATTTAGTAAAAACTAAATGTTCAGTTATGATAAAAAAAATCCAAAAGCTGCTGCATTTATCTGTAACACCAGTTCAGTTAAACATGGCAATGAGAAATAAATCAAACTCCTTTTACCAATCAAATGCACTTCAAAAGAAGAAAGAAGCTTTTAAATTAGATGTTTAAAAGTGATTCTAACTTAAAATGACGTATTTCATCATGACATGCAAGCTGTGGAAATACAAACACTTTGCTGTTTTGATTAGCGTTGTGTTGTTCCAATAAACTTGTGCTTGTCATCAACAGTTCCCGTCATTTTTATCAGGTTTTACAGGCTTGATGAGCCAGACTTCTGCATGAAATCTTCTGCAATTTTCCTCAAAAGTGATGCAAACCATTTCAGATCTGAATTTCACAAGCCTGAATAATCTTTACAACATTAAAGCTAACCTGATTAATTCTATCCAGAAGACCGCTTCAGATGGTCCAACGGTGGAAAATCCGGCTCATTCAACACAGAAGCCGACCTTATTCTCTGCTAGAATTTTTCAGAACCAGGTTGATCACTGCTTCGTGATAGACGTATACCTCTGTAAATAATGAGTTTATTAGACCCATGCAGAAAAGACAATCGTCTACCTTTTCTGCATGTTGAAGCTTCGCTGAACTCTTCCCTCCTCAGCTTCACCGTGCATCCTGTCCCGACACCCTGAGGGACGGTTAATGATGGAAACTCTGGTCCCAACGTACAGACTCTCTGTTGATGGTGTTGGTGACACACTGCCTCTTCTGTTGAGTTGTTAAGCACTAAGGTCTCTCCCTCACACACATTAAAATACACAGAGGAGCTCTGAATGTGTGTGTGTGTGTGTGTGTGTGTGTGTGTGTGTGTGTGTGTGTGTGTGTGTGTGTGTGTGTGTGTGTGTGTGTGTGTGTGTGTGTGTGTGTGTGTGTGTGTGTGTGTGTGTGTGTGTGTAAATGCATTAAAACACATAAATTACATCAACATACACCACCAAACAAACAAATGTCTTGAATTTAGATGATAATTTAGACATTTAGTCATTCTGAAACTCTCCAAAGAGGTGACGCACAAGCACACACACACACACACACGTTCTAGAGCATCGTCATGACACGGACATGTCAGATACACAAGAGTTCATAGAAGTGTGCGTGTGGCGTCACGGGCAGCAATGGAACGGTAAGGCTAACATGATTTGTGTTTTGCTCAGCATTAATTACTCTTAATGCGATAAATACATTTGACTCTTTATTTTAAAATGTTATTTGATCAGTGTAATCTGAGGCATATTTCGTATTTTGTGTATCTGGAGTTACTGATGACTGAGTTTTATTTATTTTCTGCTAATGGCAGGTGGTATCTGCCCATGCAAATCATTTACCTGGCTGCTATTTAAAGGTTAAACTTCTGAGAGGTCAAAATTAATTTCTAAATAAAACATTTCTAATATTTTTAAATCATGTGGTCCAACGAGATTTGACCCTTGCAAGTTTAACTAAAACTCATTAAAAAACTTTTGATTATACAATAATTATCAATGTAAATGTGTATAGAGGATTTCTGGGAACTAAAGAGGGAAATTTCCATATATGTAGATTTAAGTTTCATCCTGTGACATAAAATTTCACTCTAAATATTAGTTCTGCAGTCATGTAAGGTTTCGATTTGCACAATTTGTATAAAATTATGACCTTTTTTTATACAATGTGTCACATTTTGAGGAAAACATCACTTGTGTGTGATGAAATTATTTTCTTCTGAATACTGAGAATAATTAAGAAAGTCCCTAATTTAAATATGCATAATTTCAGTGGAAAACACGTACTGCATTATGCAGTAATTCAGCCTCAAACCAAGTTTGTAGCTGCTGAAAAAGGAAGGTTTTGTGGTGGAGTTTTGATATTTGCAAAACCAGAAACTGTAAAACTCAACTCCAGACGTTCCTGATTTTATTTAACATCTTCACTTTCTACGGTTGCTAATGAAGTTAATCATTACCAACAACACTTCTTGTCTTAAACTTAGTGAACAAAACAAGCCCAATTATTCCGTTTGGGGCACTTTTTCTGTAGAAACCTGAGTAAAACAAAACACAGAGGAAGAATATGTTGTAATCTAACTGAACCGGTCTCCTTATCAACCACATCATCAGACAAGAACAAACACGTCAGAGATGTCTGAGTTCAGTCAGAATTTCTTCACACTCTTGCCAAACCAGAAATATAATCCTGTGCTCTTTTTCTTATATCTAATGCAGCCAACGTTAAAATGTGATGCACACGCAACATTTTCCCCCTGAAAGGATAATTGTCTCGGGTCATTTTGTGGACAGAGAGTCTGCTTATCAGAGAGTGAAACTATACAAAAATGAGAAGTTTGCAAGTCCAATACATAAAAGCCTTTCGCTCTGCTGCTTTTTGTTACTCAGATGTATCTCACTTATTTTCTAAATATGTTGTTTTTTTCCAATGCTGTTTACTTTTAAACTAAAGTGACACAAGAGACACCAATCAGATGTTGTAATGTGACTCCTCATTTTTACACTAAGTTGTGCCATGGCAGAGAGCACGGGAGCATGAGAGTCAGTCTGACCCGACAGGCGATGAAGGAGATGGACAGCAGGCAGGGGGTTTCCCAAGCCACGCCGTCGTACGGCTCTCACAACACTCTCTAAATAAAGACTAGTAACAGATTTAGGATCCAGAATTGCAAACGTGTTCAAAAACAACTTTTGGTGTCTCCAGTGATCATCTGCTTCTCTGTGATGTCCTTTTATGGGGCCCAAAGGAGCCCAAACATCTTTTTTTAGCAGGATGTGCCCTCTGCACTTCTCTCAAAACAACCAGTTAAGTCTTTATTCAGAAACCATGGCTGAAATGTTTCTTTTATTTTTTTTAAAATCTAAATAGATCAGTTGGATTATCACATGAAGAAGTTTTATTCTACACTTTCTGCATGTGCAGAATAGACAAGCGTGTAACTATGGAGTTGTTGTGGATGGCTGTCGAGGGCAACGTTTGCCTTCAGAGCCTCTGGTGGGTTTCAGTGAAAGCTTCCCTGTGTAGTTCCATGATTTGCGGCTGCGGTGGAAAGTTCTCATTTGGGATTTGGAAACACATGGCTTGAAAGCCTCGCAGTCAACACTTCATCAGCGAGTGAGGTCAACCCTCTCACACTTCATACAACCGGCGTACACAACCACACAAACACTCACTCACTGGCTGAGAAGAAAGACTGCAGCTCTGTCTCTATCCCACTATCACACACACACACACACACACACACACACACACACACACACACACACACACACACACACACACACACACACACACACACACACACACACACACACACACACACATGTGCACACACTGACACAGTTTGGGTACAGAGTAACCAATCAGAGAGAAGTGGAGTAGGTCCCTCCAAAAGTGGGTGGGAGAGCTGCTGAAAGTGCCTCACATAAAGTTAGAGTTGGTAGTTTGGAGAACTTTTCATCGTACTACCTCTCAGAAATAATTGTCTATTTTGACCATTCTCGTTTTGATCTTTATATTTTTGTTGAACTCTGGGGTCGATTAGAGGGCAGCTAGAGTGCGGAATGGCTGAACTGGTGCGAATCCGAAAGAAAAAGCTGCAGATACCTATCTCTAGGTAAGACGTGGGATTAGGAGTAATGCAGGTTATTTTAGATGGCTGCACTTTACTCCTCTGTTGTACTTTACAACATGGGTGCATCTTCAAATAGAACACAGAGCTGTTTGTTTTTTTGTTTGTGGTTTTTTTTTTGTTAAAAGTTGCATTTACCTCCAGTTTATATTTGCTGAAGTGGAACCATGTGACTTAAAAATATGCTGCAGGTTCACAGATATCAATCAAAGATGTTATTTTTGCATGTACCTCAAATGAATGTTCACTTCTTTCTTAGAACAAGAGTTGTTTTTTTTTTTAGTTTCCACTTGTCTGTTCTGCTGAACCCTTGTCTCACACATGCTTCTGCGATGGGAAACAAAATGTGTTGCAGAGGAGGGTCATGTGGTTTTGTTTTGGTTAACTCAGTGATGTGCCAGTGTGTGCAGAAATTAGATCTCCAATGTTTGCTAAGCAACTTTAGGTGTAGTTTCTCATGCAAAGGGTCATTTATTCATGGTCAACAGTTAATGCATTTGATCTGATGCAAGTTCTAAAATTGTCACTTGAGTTTTAATTTGAAGAGTTCTTGATATATTAGCAAAATACTAAAAAAAGAAAATGTGCTGACAAAGCAGATCCTTCGATGTTTGGGGGATAGATACTCCAAGAGAGTGACACTTGGCAGTGTAGTGATTCAACAAAGTCTGAGCCAAAGGAGGGTTTGTTTACCTTTTCTATAAACAACGTATCACGAGTGCACTTGACGAGTAATTTCCTGTAGATGGCCTGACAGAATCTTTCGGACTCCTAACTGTTAAAACAGAAAAACACAGCCTTATCGTGAAAGCTTATACTTGAGATTGAAAGTGAGCCATGACATTCAGAGGCTTGCTATTTTTATGACTCGACAGCTTTTAAAAGCCCCTGCCAGTGTGATAAACACTCCAAAAGCTGCTAGCGTCTCATCCCTGGGAGCTGGCTTCGCTGTTTGGCCCTGTGCAGCCTCAGCTCCACATGAGTAGTCAGTTACAAAGCTTCAGAGGAATTATTCGTCACATAAACACGTTCATGTGTTAAACAAGTCCTGTTTTAAACAGAATTTAAATACAACTTGCTGATTTTGGATATAGGAAGTGAGTTTCAGGAGATGTGCAGCTTTTCTTTCATAATTTGATCAGACATTTTGAACTTGCTCTCAAAACAATGTAAGATTTTTTTTTCTCATTTTACCAGATAGTTTATTTAACATCCTAAACATGGAAAGTTTTTCCTCTCATGGAAAATCCAGGACTAATGATGCATTTTGTTGCCGGTTGTCTTCGGACTGGTTGGCACTCAAATTATTTCCAGATGATTCGTTTCTGTTTGTGGGAATTTCTAGAGCTGCTGTTAAAGGACTTTGTGGATTGCTTTGCTCTCACTCAAAACAAACAGTTTTGGCCATTTTCTCTCCAACATCAGATCATTTTATAGAAACCTGTCACACAAGGTGCCCTGCAGGGTCTCAGGACATTTCCAAAATGCTTTGACTTGTTTTGTTTTATGATTATTGTTGTTGGTAGGTTTGGAGGAGATATCTATATTTTTATTTTGGTTAGCATCACAGAACCAGAGGCTGATTGTGTGTGTGTGTGTGTGTTTTTTATTTTTTTATTTTAGTCTTAGGAGTATGCTGAAACAGCTGGACGAGAAGGAAGTTGATTTTGAGGAACTAAAAAAGAATTTGAACTTTACTGCTTCGTTACTGGAGGCCGTTTACCTCGATGGAACAAGGTAAGACAGTTTTACTTTATGTTTATCATAATGTAAATGAGGAATATAAAAAATAAGTCTGATTAGTGAAAACTGTCTACAAGAACACCTGCTGAGCTTTAAGGAATTAGAACAGGGCAAATTGATTTAGCAGTTTTGAAAAAATGATTAATACTAAATTAAAAACATCCATCCATCCATTACTATCTTCTTATCCTGGGTCGGGTCATGGGGGCAGCAGCCAAAGCAGAGGCCCAGACTTCCCTCTTCCCAGCTCTTCCAGGAGAACCCTTAGCAGTGTAGGGCAAGTTACTTCAAAACTGTAATGCATTATTTATTACTTGTTACCTTCACTTTTAAGTAATTCATTACATTACAATATTACTGATTTTGAAATGTAAGGCATTACACTACTTTTGCATTACTTTAAGTTACTTTCACCAATACAACTTCAGTATGAATCTGGTAATCTGACGCTCAGTGAGCTCATGACATATATGTGGAAAGTGATGTGGTGTCTGAGCTAGGATTGCTGTTAAAAACAGTCAGATATAATAACAGTGCTTTAAAATGATTGTTTATTAAATAAAAGCAACAACAATCTGTACTCTCAGCACGCTGCCATCTTATATTAACTGAGCAGGGAGTGAGGCGGTGGGGGCTCCAAGCGTACATTCGCTTTGGTCCCCAAATGCCTTGATACGGCCCTGGATGTGGGACTGACTTCTGGGGTGATCTGATTCTATCACATGTATAAATATTAAATGCTTATATGTTATTGCTTTTCATTGGTAAAAATGTGTATTGGGGATAAATCTACTTACTTTTTTCTTTTCAAGCTCTTTGTTTTGTTTTCTTGATTTTATTTGAATAATTTCCTGCCCTTTCTCTCTCTAAACTTCCTGCATGCTGCATGTTTTCTCCGTCTTCCAGAAAAACTGTTTCCTAGATTTCCTAATTTCTAACTAATCAGCCAAAGGGATCTACCGAATGCCAAAAAAAAAAAAAAAAAAAACCTAAATAAAAGCTTTATATGTGCTGCGCTCCAGCAGCAATGTGTTGAAATCACCGGGGCACAGATTATGAACTCAGCTGAAAAGCACTTGAAGTACCAGAGAATATGGGCTGATATAAATCATCGCAAATGAATTACTTTGTTTTGTGGAGCGATTTTGTGAATATAACAGCGGCCGCTCGCAGGATGCAGCTGGAGTATTTGAGCCATTATCTCTGCGTCCTCTCTGCTCATAGAATGCCCGCAAAGCTGAGTCCATAAATGACGTCATATATGTGGATACTGGATTTTTTTTCAGGCTTCCTGTAATTTGAATTTTTAGGAAACCCACATCTTGATTCTGGGTTTAAATATGCATTGTAATTACTGTGTTACTGACAATTGTACCGAGTAAATATTACCATTTTCTTTTCCTCTAATGCCTTACATTACCACATTACAGCAAAAAGCAATGCATTACCGTAATTAATGACTTTTGTACCGCATTACTCCCAACACTGACCCTTAGACATTCCCTGGTCAGTTGAGAAACATAGTCCCTCCAGGGTGTCCTAGATCTTCCTTTGGGTCTCCTTCCATTTGGACATGCCTGGTAAACCTCATCAAGGAGGCGTCCTGATCAGATGATCGAGCCACCTCAACTGACTCCTCTCAACGTGGAGGAGCAGTGGATCTACTCCGAGCCCCTCCCAGATGACCGAGCCTCTCACCCTATCTCTAAGGGAGAGCCCAGACACCCTAAGGAAAAAATTTATTTTGGCTGCTTGTGTCCATGATCTCGTTCTTTCGGTCACCACCCAAAGCTTGTGACCATAAGCGAGGATAGGAATGTACCATGCCTTAGTCCTGAGAGGAACATGTTTCTTCAGATTCATGAGTGACTGAAGTGTTTTGATCTCCAAAAGTCAGTTTATTCAACAAAGTTCTGTTGAGAAAACTAAAAGACAGAGCAGTAATTAGACAATCATGATGCATCACCTGCAGAGGAATGATAAAAATCAACAAACCGCTAAATGCACCACGTGGGGTTAGGGTAGGAAAATGTTATAGTGGAAGAAGATGGATTGCCCTGGAAGTTCACGAAGCTCATATTTCACTTTTAACCTGAGAAAAGAGTGAAAACTGTTCAATGTTTATCCTGAATTCTATGATCCACAACTTCATCTAATAAACGGACTTTTATTTTCAGGAAAAAACTTCTAACAATCATAAAACATATCATTATTTTATGGCTTGTGTCCTTTCCCAGGCAGTGTCTGGAGTCTGAAGATGACCTCCAGCAGCTACAGTCGGACGGCGTGCCATCAGAGGTCACTGATTGGCTGGCGTCCACCTTCACTCAGAGGATTCGACGGCCCGTTAGACGCTCGGATGAGAAACCCAAGTTTCGCAGCATTGTGCATGCGGTGCAAGCTGGGATATTTGTGGAGAGGTGTGCTAATGTTTATGTTGGTCTTTATTCTTCCTGTCAAACCAAGAGGAAGTTGTCAAATAGTTCTTCAACTCATTCAGGCTTTAATTCCTACAGCCACAGTAAACGCCCACAGCTACTCTCCACCGTGAAACATTAGCCTTCCCTTTCCTTTCAAACATCCTTCCAGGGACTTTAGAAGAGTCATATAAACAACTTCCGAGTCAAGTTTGCTGCACAGCATCAACATCTGAACTTAAACTGAACTCAACATAAACATTGCATTATTCCAGGATGTTCAGGAGGGCTTACACCGCGGCCATGCCAGACCAACCAGCAGAGGTCGTAAACTGCTTGAGGGTAGGTCTCTGCTGATCATAACTCGCTCAGGGTTTCAAATGTTTGCTCAGTAAATCCCACATCTCCTCCAGGAGTGCATTAGATCACTAAAGCTGTCCCTGTTCCTCTGTCTCTCTGCAGGATGTTGATCGCTGGAACTTTGATGTGTTTGCTCTGAACTCGGCCAGCTCTGATCACGCACTACGGACTCTGGTCTTTGAGCTGATCACCAGATACGAACTTAACAGTCGTTTTAAGGTCTTTCGGGTTTTGATGATATGATATCAGTTTCCTGTTGACACAGTTGTTCCATATGAATTCAATGTTAAATGTGTTTATGGATTGAGTGTCCCATGGTGACATAATTGCTGTGGATTTAGTGTTCTTTGTGTAAATAGAGGAAAATCTGGCGTATGGATTATTTGTGGAGATCACATGCACCATTTAGCCATCCATCTTAACCTCATTACCTCAGTCAGCTTATTTTGATTTTATTGAGCGTACTGATTGTGTAATGCTGCTTTCAGATCCCTATCTCGTGCATGACAGAATTCCTGTCTGCGCTGGAGAGAGGTTACTGCAAACACAACAATCCCTACCACAACCACATCCATGCCGCCGATGTGACTCAGACTCTGCACTGCTTGCTGCTGCGCTCCGGACTCGTGGTACAACACACTCACCACAAATATGCCTTCATTGATCATCTACTTTAAGGCCTCTCTCTTATTGGTGCCAAAGTCTATTAAAGAACAACACAACACTTTACATCTTCCTGTTCCAGGGTTTCAAACTGCAGTTTTCTAAATAAACACGTACATTTAGCAAAACGAGGTATAAATAAAGCTGTTGCTTTTACTTTTAAAAAGAAAACAACAACTTCTGATATCTTTAGGAGTCATTTCACAGATCAGTGCTCTTGGGGACCAATGTCTATTTCTAATCGTGTTGAACAATAGTGCACACTGACCACTTTGCACAACGGTATGAATCATTTTTGGTCTGCAACTCTGGTTTTCTGAGAAACTTCCATCCATTTAGCCTCTGGGGTCTGGAGGTGAAAGGTTTAAAAAGAAAATTAAAACACACATTTTATTTTGTAGATCAATTACAAATATGTCAGTATAACAGAACACACAGTCCCCTCATATTCTCGCAATCCACCGAGCAGAAATCTGCTGGTGAGTCAAATCGTCATTATCAGCTTTCCAACTTCAGTCTGCACATAATGCATTCAGCTCTTCATTATCTCAACAGTGCTCAGCAGTTTGAGCAAGGAAGACCAAATTGTTCTGCAAACTTTCTCATGCATAGGGCTGCATTTCTATAGTGGAGGAGGCTCTATGAAATTCATGTGATGCTCAGATGCATCAAGTTGCTCTAATTTAAATGTTGCCTAAGAAACAAACAAAAAATAAAAACCTAAAATCCTGCAAAACTTAGTAACATTAATATCAGTTTGACACAAATGTCCTTCGAGTTTGAACTGAACAAATTAAAGCTTCTTGAAAGATGGATAAGGCTATTACCTGGTGATATTTATCGATATTTACACCTTTTCTTGTAGATGACACAATGATGGCATAAGAATATATCCCATAATAGCTTATGTAAAGGGACAATTTTTAAAAATTTAATGTCCATATTTACTACATTTGTATCCATTTTTGTGGATGCAGTAAATAATATTTAAACAGACCATGACTGAAGAGAATAAAATACAGACAGACACAATTAAATTAGAGATGATGTGTTGTGTGGAAAAACAGGAACACTGTTGGGTTATTTTTTAATAATACCAGGTCACCTTAAAGAGAAGTCAAATGCACAGAGGATTAGTGCAATAGTATTGTTCAGTTCTACTTTGCAAAGTGGAGAGATGAAATGAATACATACCCAAGCATGGTTCACAGGATCTCTCAGCGAACATTCGTTCTCCGAGGGTATTTTTAGCAAGCACAGGCAACACATCACATCACATTCCTAAACTGCTCCGTAGAGATTCAGGTGGAAAGCTGTTTAACGTAGGGAGTAAAAACAATTCCACAACTTCCTCATACAAAACCAGGTTCAGTCAACATGCTGTTTCCCATGGGAGTATAAATGATAACACAGACCAGCGTGGTCTGAGGAAGGTCATTTTCCTCCCTGTTGAGACGGGAAAGCTGGCAAAGGATAACACTTGCATTTTAATGATGCAACAGGTGTTTTACTTATAAGGTAGCTATGATTTTAAGCAGTGATGTCAGCGAAAACCACTCTTTCTCTATCAAACATCTTATATCTTCAGTTTCAGCTGTTTTGAAATATCTGTTTGATTTTTAGGTACGGTTTAAATTTTCATTCTAAACTAGATGCACACACAATCAATCCTCAAAGAAGAATCTTTAGAAGGCCTTTAAATGTGTAGTTCACTGAAGAACTATTTTTAAATTATTCTTTCTGAAAATAATGGGTCACTCTGAGTTTGTCATGCAGGCTGAACATGAAATTACTCTCCTACCTATCTCCTGCATTACCATCTCTGTCAAGCTTATCAAGTTTGCAGTCAACACCACCGTCATTTGGACTCAACTTGGACAGGGATGAGTCTGCCAGTAAAGTGGAGGCCGAAGGTTGGTGTCCTGTTGCAGCCACAACAACCTGTTGCTCAATGCTCAGAAGACTGCGGAGGTTGTTGTGGACATAGGAAGCACACAGCCCCATTTCCCTCCATAACAATCTGACACTCCCATCACAATGGTGGACTCGTATTGCTTCCTGGGTACCACCATCACCCAAGACCTCAAGTAGGAGCCCACCATTACCTTCATCAAGGCCCAGCAGAGGATGTACTTCCTGAGGCAGCTGAAGAAATTCAACCTGCCAGCACAGTTGATGAGGCAGTTCTACACCGCAGTAACAAGTCCATCCTCATCCCATCATTCACTGTGTGGTATTCTGGAGCTCCCATCAGGGACATGAAGAGACTGCAGCGTGTTGTGCACTCTGCTTAGAAGGTCATTGACTGCAAACTTCCTTCTATAAAGGACCTGTACACCTCCAGGACATTGGGGCATCTAGGTCGGATCACAGCTCACCCGTCTCACCCTGGGCACAGTCTTTTCGACTTGCTCCCATGTGGCAGGAGACTCTGATCCATTCAGACCAGAATGTCTCACCACAAGAACAGTTTCTTCCCCTCTGTGGCTGAACTCATGAATGACAATCGTAGAAGACTGAAGAGAAAGCAGAGTGGCTGGTTCATATACCCGCTGTTATCTATTATCAAACTTACCAAGAATTTCAGAAACACACGCTCTGAGACGCAGAGTATCTGAGTGTAGGGACAGGGTTAGTTATGTGTCATGCGTTCTTAACTTAGCCTTACTTCTTGTCTGGTGTGTGAACAGATAGTGATGACCTCATCTAGTAAACATACTAAAACATTGAGCACATTAATGAGACATTTCATTGCTTATCATTATACATGGCAATATGTATTGATTTTTAATTATAAAATCTTCTTTCTTCAATTATTATTTTTTATTATAAAATAATTACTTTAATCATGAAATCTTCTTTCTTCTGGGAATAAAGAGTTCATTTTAAAAGGAGTTCTCTGTGAAGAACCTTGGGGAAAGAATGTTACTGTTCATCTTTATTATCTGTTGGAGTTGCGCTCATCTGATGAAAATGCTGAGTTGTGCAGACTGACACACTCCTGACAAGGGAAGACAGACAGCAGACATGTAGTAGCCAAGGTTATTTGCTCTGGCTGCATATGACCTGTGGGATCTTTAAAATCAGTCCATTTCATAACATTACAGTGGTCTAAAATACATACATTTATGCACTTGTTATTTCTGTTTCTCTTTCCTTTCTTTGGTCAATGAAGAACTGGCTGACAGAGCTGGAGGTCATGGCGTCACTCTTTGCTGCAGCTATTCACGACTTTGAACACACAGGAACCACAAACAACTTCCACATCCATACAAAGTAAGCTTTCCTTGTGGAACACAGCTTATTAACCTTGTTTGTTGTGCATTAAAACAATACTCATGTATAAATGAAACATCTTGTTGTGTGACTAAATTGAATCAGAGGAAAGTTTTTTTAATGCAGGAAAAGTGTCTCTTTTAAGCTTTCATGAAATTTTGGGAAAAGGGAGGGAGCACTCTGGAGCAAACGTCCTCGTAGAAGGAAAAATAGTATTTTTAGCCTTTCTAATGCAGTCTCCTGGCACCCATCAACTCTGGTCTTTATTTTGGGATTAGAAAACAATGATGCCTTATCGCAACTAAAGTTTAAACCAGCTCCAAATTCTAAACAAATGACTTTCTCAAAATCAGAAGAGAAATCTGTGATTTTACACACACGTGATGGTGACTGAACTAACCACTCCCTTCTATTAAGGAACAAAATCTGTGTACATTTGTTTTTCTAAAAATATCTACATATAATTGGAATGTAATTATTCTAAACTCTTTAAACACTAATCTAATTACCTACTTGGCAGGGCAGTGCAGTACTTATTTTGTTCCCAAACATTATTTTAATAACTTAACATGATAAATACACCGCCAGGCTAAAATTAAAAAGTTGCCACCATATTTAAAGGTCACTCTCTAATGTTTTGTTGGACTGCCTTTAGCTTTGATTTCAGCCCGCCTTCACAGTGGCAATGTTTTGATAAGCTTCTGATAAGGTTTATCTCCATCCAGTGCTGCATTAATTTTTCATCAAGCACATCCCAAAGATTCTCAATGGGGTCTGGACTCTGTGGTGGCCAATCCATGTGTGAAAATTAAGTCTCATACCCCCTGAACCACTCTTTCACTATTTGAGCCCGATGAATCCTGGTATTGTCATTCTGGAAATTGCTCATGGTATCAGAGAAGATGGAATAAATTGATCATTCAGGATATTCAGGTAGTCAGCTAAGCTCATTCTTGGAGCACATCCTGTTGCTGAACCTAGATCTGACCAACTGCAGTAACCCCAGATCATAGCACTGCCCCCACAGGCTTGAACAGTAGGCAGTAGGCATGATGGGTGCATCACTTCATCTGCCTCTCTTCTTACCCTGATGCACCACTACTCTGGAACAGGGTCCATCTGGACTCATCAGACCAGTCTTTAAAAATGTGTTGGACAGTTTCTCTGCTTGATGCAAATGATCTGACCCTTCTCAGACAGACTAACATATTTTCCACCACCAAATATGTCTTTCCATGTGGTTGTTTAAGAAATGAGAAGCAACTCAATCAATCAATCAATCAATCAAAGCTTTATTTATAAAGCGCCTTCCTCAACCCTGTCAGGAAGCCCAAAGCGCTGACTCAAACTCAAACTCAAAGCACCAGGTAACTTGTTGCCAGCTGAAATATCATTGCCCATGCAGTAATTATCCAATAGGAGGCTCGTACCTTTGCTTAGTTGCCCAGGTGATGACATTTTTTGGGCCAGGCAGTGTATGTAGTTTATAAAAAATATGATACAATCTGCATAACTATGATAAACAAAAAATGTTCCTCTTCTCCAAACACAAAGAAAAAAACTTCTAACTGGTGAATTCATGGATTGTATTTGGTATAAAATCTGCTTTAAATCTTAAAGACTAGCGAGGATTCGAACGTAAATGTAATTTTCACAAATTATAACAGCCTGATGAAGTAGATTATGCAAATGAAAATGCACAGAAAATTCTCCTAATTACCTCACTAAATAGAATAATTTCAACACAGACTTCTTCTCAAGCACAACATTAATTATTAAAGGCATTCAGTCACAATGACTAAATTATCCCCTTAGGACTTTTCATTCTGACTGCTTCAGCCTTGAATTACTAATAGACTTTACTTTAATGCTCATTACAGTTTGACAAACCTCCTGTTGCTACATCTTCCTGTGTCCCAGTTTCATCTCCTTTTTTCTGTCTGTACTTCCAGGTCAGAGTTTGCGTTGATCTATAATGATCGATCTGTTCAAGAAAGTCATCATGTGAGTGCAGCGTTTCGCCTGCTGCAGGAAGACCAAATGAACATCTTCATGAACTTAACACGGGAGGAATGGATGTAAGATGTATTTGTTTTGTTTTGTTTGTTTGTTTGTTTTTGTTACCATTGAAATATTTCTAGTGATCAAAATTGGCTTAACAGCTTTACTGAAATGTTATTCATCAGATACCAAAACAAAAATGAAAAATAGTGAAATTTTAGGGAAGGCAACACTTGATAATGAATGTGTTTTATGTATGGAATTTGTGCTTCTGATGAAATAATATGCTCAAGCTATTAATATTGTCAGAAAAAGCCACACAGGTCTTTATCTCAACAGAAATTAGCAGATATGGACACACCCTTCTTGGCTTCTTACCAGGAAAGGCTGTTGGTTTAGCATCCAGGAGAGAGCAGAGCTAGTCTTGGCTAGTAGAAGCTAACTGTTAGCATTAGTAACTCCACAACATGACAGAACTCCTTCAGGTTTGTTTTACTAGTGGAGACAAAACTTCAGTGTTGCAGAGTAAATGGAGGCAGCAGAAGAGTCAAGTTGCTGTTAGCAATCAGAGGCAAGATGTTTGCATATCATGAATAATAATGAGTAAAACTCCAAATCCTGCATTTTACTGTCCTCCACTCCTTCTAACTTCTAAAGTGGAGGAGTATAAGTGGGTCTTGTTCACAAGGGAGGGAAGAAGGAAGCAAGATAATGATAATGATAATGATAAGCTTGTGTCTCGGTTTACCGGCCAATCTGCATCCAAACCCTCATCTATAGTCATGAGCTTTGGGTAATGACAGAAAGAACAAGATCGCCAAAAAGAGTTTCCTCTGGAGGGTGGCTGGGCTCAGCTGTAGGGATAGGGTGAGGAGCTCGGCCATTCGGTGTAAACTCGGAGTAGAGCCACCGATGCTCTGCAATGAGAGGAGCAAGCTGAGGTGGTTTGGGCCTCTTGTCAGGATGCCGCCTGGACGCCTTCCTGGGGTGGTGTTTCAGGCATGTCCTGCCGGACAAGGTCGACCCAGGACACGTTGGAGCAAGTTCATCTCCAGTCTGGGCCGAGAACATCTTGGGGACCTGTTGGAGGAGCTGGTGGAGGTGGCTGGGGAGAGGGCTGGATGCACTAGTTGAGATGCTACCCCTGCAACCCCGACCCGGATAAGCGGAGAAAAACAAACAAACAAACAAACAAACAAAATAATCGTTTCGATGTTAGTACACCAACAATATAAGTCTAACTACATATTGATGTTGCGGTAAAAAGCTTAAAGGCATTCCTATCATTACTGGAGCTTGAGATAATTTTTATTCAATAGACTAATAGAGTTTCTGGAGTTGTTTGCCTGTTATATCACTGGCACAGTATGTGACTGTCATTCACTGAGAAGCTCTGCAGATATCAGCAAAGATAAACACAGCAGTACACCTTAACGGGCTCCTCTGGCAGTCAGTGTTGCTATGGGAACAGGGAAATCCATCAAGAAAAAAAACGATAGAGGTTACAACCTGCCCTGACTCCTCCTGTTTACCAGGTTTGCTTGATGAAATCCCCTCTCGTCATTCAAGGTCCTCCGTGAGTATTTCTGCGTGTTTGTTAACAGGGAGCTGCGATCCCTCGTCATAGAGATGGTGCTGTCCACTGACATGTCCTCCCACCTACTCCAGGTCAAATGCATGAAAGCCTTTCTACAGCAGCAGGAACGGTAAATGGCAGTGCCGCTCTGTGATGTAAAATCAGTAGGTTGCACGACAAATTCAACAACATAAATAGAAAGTGTGTAATGTTTGTCTCCATCAGGATTGATAAGCCCAAAGCGCTGTCTCTGCTACTGCACACGGCAGACATTAGCCATCCATCCAAGCCCTGGGCGCTGCACTCTCGCTGGACTAAATCCTTAATGGAGGAGTTTTTCAGGCAGGTAAGAACCTGAACTGACCTCAGCCGTCAAACTGACCTTTTTCTTTCCAGTCTTTCCTCCTTCAAACCTAAGCTCCTAAAATTAGATTCAAGTTAATCAATTTATTTTCAAACAGATGAACAGGCAATCGGAAAAGGCTTGGTTGTTTGTCTTTGGATGACGTTTAAGAAAGTCCCTACAGTGCCACATAGGATAAAACACATAAGCACACAGCTGAAAACTGTATTTTTTATTTTGTTGGATGAAAAAAACTTTTTCCTGTTCCTATCAATGAGAAGATGTCGTTTGAGATTTCTGCTTTGCTGTTATGTGCAAAGAAACGACAACCAGTCCTTCATGCCAGAGGCATACACCTCAGAGTTCTCACTTCTCATGCAGTCACTGATATCTATAATAATTTGTCTTTTGATCTGTGTTTTCCCTTAAGAAAGACCACTCATAATAATTTATGTTCCTAATGATTCACAAAGACGCGCAGTTCTCACACTGACTGGAGCACAGAGCTCAGAGCTGCAGCCCCTCAGTCTCATAAAGCCTCCCTTGATCTTTCCTTGACTTTGACCATATCTCTCATCAATTTGTTCAAAGAAAAAAAAGAATTTGCTTCATAATTTTAGAAATGGAGTATTCTTTTTTCCTCCCAGTCGATACCTGATGCTGTATATTGTTCTGCCATGTTGTATTTATACGTATCTCAGCGTGAGAGATGAGTCAAACGGCTGAAAACCTAGCAGCTCCAACAGCAAATCAAACGGGGAGAGAGAGAATCAAATGGATTTGTTATTTTTCAGATGTAATAAAACCTTGTACGTAACTCTGCAGGTATGAAGCAGATTCAGAGGGGTTGTTTGAAGATCCTGCAGACTGGGTGAAAATGTTTTCACTTTTATGTAGAAAAAATCAGGAAACAGAACCACACGTAGAAAACAGTTTGATGTCACAGAATTTATGAGTTTATTATGAATTAAAAAACTTAAATATAAAAAACAAACCCTTAATGTCATCATAGTAAGTTCTGACATTAACATACTCAAAAATAAATAAATAAATAAAACTCTTGAGCTCTACATATTTTAGGTAATCATAATTAGCTTAGCATTATTAGTTAAGTATTAATTGAAATGTCACCTGAACATTAGAATATGCATCAAAGTCCCTCTGTGGAAACCATTCAGAAATGAGTGGTAAATTACAAAGCAGTCCTTTGAAAGAACATCTGTGAGCCTCCTGCCATCTAGAGTCTAAAAGGAACCCCACGAGAGAATTATATGTGAACATATTTTAATTTACAAATCAAAACACAGAACTCTGCAGGAGGCTGGGATTTGGCGAGAGGAAAAACAGCATCAAATACTTTAGTTTTCAGGAAATGATTTACTGACAACAGAGCTGAGAGGAATTCAGCTGCATAGGATTAAAACTATAGAAGTTTCAGATGGAGATCGCTGGAACACAATAACCTTCAAGAAGTTATTTTTAGGTGATGTGTGGGATGCCATTGCATCTTCTCTTGTTTTCTATCTTTGTGAGGGCGATAGAGAGGCAGAACTCGGCCTTCCCTTCTCTCCTCTGTGTGATCGAAACAGCACTCTGATAGCTGAATCCCAGATTGGTATGTCTTATTCAACACACACACACACACACACACACACACACACACACACACACACACACACACACACACACACACACACACACATCTTGTGACTTATAGTGTTTATATTCATAACTGATAAAATCACTTTTTTCTCCTTTTTTTCAACAAACTTGTCAGATTCATTTAAATGTCTTTGCAGTTCAGGGAAGCGTTACACAAACTCATTGAAATGTCTCAACTAATTTTTAATGCTAACTAATGACATCACTTTGTTACTTTGCAGGCTTCATAGACTTCATTGTGTATCCCACATTCTCTCTGCTGACAGAGATGGCAGAAAAAATTGTTATTCCTTTGGTGGAGGAGAACCCCGGTCCTTTAGATCCCTGCAATAGACACAGGTACTGATTATTTTTACCTCATTTTTTGTTTAGTGTCTATAATTTATTTAAGTGGTCTCTTAAAAAAAACACTTTCTTAAATAGAGAGTAACTGATTTGATTTGGCTTAAAGCTACAGCAACTCGGCGAGAGCGATGAGTCACACGGCTAAAGCAGCTCTTGTTTGTTAGAAAGGTTAAAAAGTGTACAAAGAATGAATGAAAAATGAAAACTTGCCAATGCAACTGTTTGTGGAGCCACATCGTCAGACGTTACATCCTCTGGAGGTCTTCATGGTTTTAAAGAAAGCTGAGCTCAAATCTAGCTAAGTGATAAAATTTGACTCTGGATTTTATATTTTTTACATTTGTATATATTTTTTACAATTATTTGCTATGACATGAATTTGATGGGACTTGATCCTAAGCATGACACAAACATAGGAGCACAAAAAAGAAAAATAATTGACTAAAAAATCATTTTGAGATCTCCTCTTATAACTTTATTAGATAAAAAGTCAGTGCGAAAGATCTTGACTTGCTCCATGAGACAGCAGCGAATGTCTCGGCTAGTAGAAGCTAACCGTTAGCATTAGCAGTTCAACCACACAGCAGAACTCCTTCAGGTTTGCGTTATTTGTGGAGATAAAATATCAGCATTGCAGAGCGAACAGAGTCAGTGGTAGAGTTGTGTTGCTCTTATCCAATCAGAGGCAAGATGTCTGAATATCAGGAAATGTGACTCTAAATCTTGCGGAGGATATTTGGAGCCAAGTGTGAAGCAGCTGGGATGAGGACCAGCACCTCTAAATCTGAGCCCATTGTTCTTGACCGGAAAAGGGTGGTTTGCCAACTCCAGGTTGGGAGAGAGGTCCTCCCCCAAGTGGAGGAGCGAGAGATCGACAGGCGGATTGGGGCAGTGTCAGCAGTGATGCGGGCACTAAATCATTCTGTCGTGGTGAAGAGGGAGTTGAGCCAGAAAGTAAGGCTCTCAATTTACCAGTCGATCTATGTCCCAATCCTCACCTATGGTTATGAGCTTTGGGTGATGACCGACAGAACGAGATTGCGGATACAAACGGCCGAAATGAGTTTCCTTCACAGGGTGGCCGGACTCAGCCTTAAGGATAGGGTAAGGAACTCAGACATCCGGGAGGGACTCGGAGTGAAGCCGCTGCTCCTTCGCATCGAAAGGAGCCAGTTAAGGTGGTTTGGGCATCTGGCCAGGATGCCTCTGGACGCCTCCCTCGGGAGGTGTTTTGGGCATGTCCTGCTGGCAGGAGGCCCCCGGGTCCACCCAGGTGTACCTGAAGGAAATACATCTCTAGGTTGGCCAGGCAACGCCTGGGTGTCCCAGCTGAGGAGTTGGTGGACGTGGCAGGGAAGAAGATTGCCTGGGAGGCCCTATTTGGTGCCCTGTGACCCGGACTCGGATAAGTGGAGGAAGGTGAGGTGAAGAGACTCCAAATCCTGCTGTCTGCTGCTCACCTCTTCTCCGGCTGTTTTCTGCTTCCTGAAACAAGAGCGCCAGAGCTTTTTTTCTCTCAAAGATCAACTCACAAGGCACTCATTTATACTCGAGACCACTGCAAATGTATTAAACAAATGAGTAACCTCAATGCACAACCCTGTTGATATTTTACACAGTAGTTTCTCAGGTTTTTCACTGAGCTACGTCTTCGTGATAACCGTAGTCCTTTGTGATAAATTCTGGGTGGAACGTGCTGTTGTTTGTCTACAGTAATGTTTGGAAGGAGAGCTCCAGAGGTCTGCAGTGGAGTGTGGCACACATCACAGCTGAACTGGTGAGTTTCCGCTCCACTTGGACTCGACACACTGAAGACAACAAGATCAAATGGAAAGAGAACGGATCGAATGGTATGTTCGTGTTGGTTGCTGTTGTAAAATCAGTTTTATTAAATGCATTTCGGGTGATTTTAGTTTGAAAACTGGCAGCATTTCTTTGGTCGTGTTAAGAAAGTTCATATAAAGGTAAACTCAATTGTATGAAGGCCTCTACTACAGAAACATAACGGATATGTTGTCATAGGATATCAGTGATTTGGCCAGAACAAAGCCATATTGCTCCATCACACTGATTTGATTTGTTTTATAAATACATTTCAGAGCGACCTCATGTAGAGATTTACAGTTAATGCTTTTATCTTTAATCTGATCAAAGATTTTCCGATGCCTTTTCCAATTTTCTTTATCCTCAAGGATTTTCTGACTCCAGTGTTGCAAAAGAACAGAGACCCAGACAAGAGAAGCTGCCTGAGAAATCCACGCAAGACTCCACTGGAGATACACAACATTAGACGAAACTGCAAATATCCACTTTTTTTTTTTTACTTTTTATAAAAAGAATATCACAAATCTTTTTGTTACGACAATATTTGTAGCGGGAAATAATGATGGGGACTAAATGTTAAGATCATCTTCCAAAGGTAAGATGCTGTGCAATAAGGGGAAAAAATGTCCTTTTGTCTTATTTTAAAACTAGTAAACAGTTATTTAAATAGAAACTGTACATGCTGGTCATGTTGTATAATAGAGCTCATCATGGTATTAATTTAAGTTGCCACATAAACACAGGAACATTGTTTCTAGTTGTAGTTTCAACTACACACAAATATTTAAACATGCGTTATTAAACTTTAAAAATGGGCAAATTTGGGACTCTTGTGGTTTGTTTTTAGAGCTGTGACCCTCCCTTTCTTTGTCTCCATCTGACCACATTTCTCAAGTTTGAATGACATTGTGAGATTAGTGCTGTAGATCCATGTGGGGTGGATCAGCGAGTCGATGTCTGGGCGTACAGCTTTATGTCTTTCATGTAGAGGAGGTGGCTGACTGTGGTTCCAGTCTTGAGTCGGTATCCATAGCCAGTCTGATTATTTGGCTGAGGGGGTTCAGACCTATGCAGAACAGCAGTGGGGACAGGGTATCTCCTTGGTATGTGCCACATTGGATGGAGACTTGGGCAATTGGTTTGCAATTGGCCTCAAGGGTGGTTTTCCACAGTCCCATTGACTTTGCAATGAAGGCTCTCAGAGTCCTGTTGCTGTTGTACAGCTCCAAGCATTCATCCATGAGTCCAGCATTGAGTCATAGGCTTTCTTGTAAACAATCCAGGCCATGCACAGGTTTGTGTGTCTGGCATTGCAGTCTTGGGTGACTGTTCAGTCTCCAAATATGCTTGACTTCTCAAATGTTCCAAGACATGGTTGTTTTTGTTTGATTTAGAATAAAATGTGCATTTCATCATGCAGCTTTTTATTGTCATTGGATCTTTATGGAGGTCAAGTACACTAACAGAGGTATCCTGACTCATAGCTGCTTGTCAGTGAGAGCATCAGATGTAGGTTGAAATTGTTACTGAAAGTACTTCTGAAATCCTGCCTTCTTTATGAAAAATGCATGCCTTTTCATGCTCTTTGCTCTCACTATATTGAATTATTAACACAGAAAAATTATTTATAGCACAAAATTGCCTCAACTAAACCCGTGTGTTGTGGAGCAGTGTAAAGTTTAACCTAACTTTCTGCAAATATATTTTATTTGAACATTTTAATAGATCAGATCCCAGTTTTCTCTGGGTTAGGAGTAAGTGGCTGATAGTAAACTGAGCCATCAGCCTGAACGGATAAAACATTCCTACAACGGATGAATGTGAAAGAAACAGAAGCTATATTCAACTTAAACATTTTATTGTATCAAACAAAGTTAGATTACAGATGTACCGGTAACTGTCTATCAAGTTCAAGTAAAACTGGAACAGAAGCTCTCTAGGTGTGATTCTTTGAAAGTACACTACCACCATTCAAAACACAACAAACATTAAGTTGTTCATTAATACACTGCTACAAATAAATTTAAAAAGCTGTTAAAAGAACATTGCTGCACCCAGGAAATCAGCTTTTCACCATGTGACATCAACACTGAAGCTATTTTGTCTTCTTTTGACTTTTTTCTCTATTGTTTCTTTCAAACAAGAATGGTGTGAAAATTATGGAAGGATTGTCACATACTGTAACTTACAGTGAAATGCTGTGGGTCATTTGTATTTTCTCTAATACATATAAAACTAGAACTTTAAGAGAACGCAGAAATTACAATGTGTGTCCCGCCCCTGTAGGTAAATGTTGTTTTTGTTTGAAATTCATTTGGATTGAGACCAAACATCCTCACTACATTCAGGCAAATAGAGGTTTAATGATCAGGTTCTCAAATAAGAATCTGTGGGTCAAAAGTGAGAGAGCCAGTTGACTCCCTGGAGATGAGTTTTCCCTTGTTAATCCAAAATATGTAAATCGATCTGCAGGCACATTCCTCTGTAATGAACTCGACTCGTCAGCTGCACATACAAGCATGGGATTTAGCAGCCAACCATCTGCTGTGTCACTCTCCTACTGTAAACAAGCATAAATCTGCAGTCAGTTGGATACTTGATAAATAACCACTTCATAAAAAAGTAAAACTGCTTCTTTTTTCAGCCCAACTCAAATTATTTCCTCTTTTGCACCTCATTTAACCTGATAAATATAATGGAGGAGCTGGACTCAGGTGGGTGGAGGGACACACACACAAACACACACACACTCGTGCATGCACTGATTCATACACACTTACTCCCACTGCCCATTTAGAATCACCAGTTCATACAAGCATGTGTGAAGGAAACCATAGAAAAGCTATGCAAACACAGGGAGAAAGTCAAAAAACCCACAGGTCTAAGATTAGAACTTAACTAAAACGTTATCCCATTCTTAATGTTTCAGTAAACTTGACTTAACTCAAACACATCCTCTAGAAGCTGATTTTTCATCTGAATATGTACCAGAAAACACATCCAAAATAAAAATAAGTTTAAAATCCAAAAGGGTTCAAATGAAGGCAACTGGAAGAAGTGAAATGTCTTCGAAAAACCAAAGAAGTCCAGTTGCTTTCATCTGGACTTGTTTGGATTACCATGACCTGGAGGACTGAGAACCTTCAAATTTTAAAAATCAAAGTTTTTATTAAAATGTTCCCAACAAATGGGCTTTCTTTTATATTTCATCATAAGAAGGCTTCAGATTTATGTAGAAATATTGGCTTTTACTGCTGAAAAGATGCAAACTGTTCACTGAAGCTGGATGCTGATGCACACATCGATTTTTGTAAATCCAATTTAATAAGCCAAAATGAAAAGTTCACATATTTTTAGTTCAAATGAAAAATATTTAGGATTTGCTGAACTAGTTATTTTCCTTTGTATTTCATGATTTTGTGCCAGTCTGCTAAAATCTTCCCACAACAAATATCCAAATGTCATTTTCTTTAATGAAATACTTATTCTACTTGTTTCTTTTCTTTTTTTGCTTCAAATAAAACTTCTGTCCAACACCAAAGATGAAATCCTTAAAGCTCAAAAGCCACGCAGAAGGTGTGAAAACAAAAAGTTTGCAGCAGCGGTTCCTGTGCTCGGTTTTTGCCTCGTTCATGCACAGCGCTGACTTGTTGGTCATTCAGAAACATTCACAAGCAACACAACACAATCACCGTAGTTACAAGCATAACACTCTTGACAATGTGCAAGGAGAATAAAAACACTGGGAAAACACAAAGCTGTCACACCTCATTTGCAGATTTGTGGTCTGATAAACGGGGAAACACATCCCAGTCATGAATGATGTGTGTGAGACAAAATTGAAATGTGTCATATAAATAGTGGATGGTTACTTCTCATGTCAAACAAAAAGAGTTATGTTAAATATGTTAAAGTGGTTGTTGGTTAATAAAGACTAGAGATCAACTTACAGACGTGCGTTGATGTTGGATTTCAAATTTACATTTTTTAGATCCAGTTGATGTGCTGACACAGCTTTGTTACTCTAAGCTGTAACCATATATGCTAAAGTCACATGAAACTTTTGGATACTTTCAAAAATGAGCCAACTTTATGTTATCACCCAAGGGGAAAAATCAAGTTTTAAGAAAAAAATGTGATGGTGTAAATGAGACATGAGATCACTCTCCCAGATTTATGCACACAGTACACTAGCTTTAAATCAGCGCAGAAACAGCTGTAAAAACACACAATATTGTCTCTTTACACAGATGTTTCTCACAAAATAATCGTAGAAATATTGTTTCTTGTTCTCATAGCTAAGGTCTGTTTGTAGACGCCCTGATGTTTCTGAAAAGTGAATCTGCACAGACAATCTTTTGTCATTTTGTTGGGCTACCGGAGCTGAGTGAACAACATAGAGCTGCACAGGCTTTCCTATTTCTCTTTCTCCAGGCTGCATTTCTTCGTCTTCTCCAGCGTTGGCTGATTTGCACAGGATGCTTCTGCTTTTGTGCCTGAAAAACATAAATTACATCAAGAGGAGGAAGTGATGTAGATGACTGGTGAAAAGACTTTAACAAAACATTGAATAAAGATCTGAGAGCCCGGTTAGTTTTCATTTTGAGGTTCTCTATGCAGAATCTTTCTCTGTTTTTTTTTCTGCAGAAAAACAAAGAACAGAAGTAGGCATCACATTAATTTATAATAGAATTTGCAGGAATCTTGATGCATGATTACCAGAATTGTTTATGCATGGCTGAAGGACAAGCATATTTCAGTAATAGTGTCTTTATTTACGTAGAACTTGATACATGGTGTGCCAGCAGACTAAAGTGCTGTACCAGAGGAAAATAAGACTAAACATAAGCACTAAAAATTAAGGAATTAAACCCTGGCCATTAAACATTATTTTAAAAAAGGGTGTTTATTGAACACCCTTTTTAATTAATATTTGGATTCCTTTAAAATGCAGCTGAAAACGCACTTGTTCAAGCTGGTTTTGTTGTGACCTTCATCACCCTCTCTTTGTTCTGCTCTCCCTATCTACAGTATTCCACTTTCCTCAGGATCCACTGATTTCCCTCTTTCCTATTCACTCTCTCTCTTTCTTTACATTTTTAAATCACAATTGTCTATTTTTTGCTCATTTAAAATATATTTTTAATCATTTTCTAAATTCTTTTTTATATTTTTACATTTTTTGTTTTTATGAAGCGCCTCATGAATTTTATCTTGAAATACGCTATAGAAGATCCTTTCTTCTTCTTCTTCTTCTTCTTCTTCTTCTTCTTCTTCTTCTTCTTCTTCAATTTGTGTCTATATCAAATATCAATTAATACAGGCACATGAATTAGAAACAAAACAATGAGAAACTTGAAAAATGAACAGATTAAGTACCTTTAGACATTTCTATACATTTACTGCAGAATTCTCCCATTTTTCCAGATTAGTGTGGAATAATGTGTGGTCTGGTGTATTTTTTCTGTTGAATGATCACTACAGAGACCAGGTTAAGGCCTGAGAAAATAATGGGATTTCAGGCCCTTTTAAAGGGTAAATATGGAACACGGACATCAAAGCAACATCTAGTAGGTGGAGGTTGTAGCTGCAACAATACAACAAGATTTGGAGTCGTTGGGGAACCAGGTTCACTGCCATATGTGAAAAGTTTTATTTGTGTCCATCTGCTGTAGGCTTCACTTAAACTCACACTGGTTTTAAATCTTTAAAGGTCGCTCCTCTTCTCAGAAGGATAACAACATCTCCTGGGCTGAGAAGTAGCTGCTTAACTTGCCGAGCCCGCAATTTTCCACTGTGCCACCTCGCTGTGCTGAGCAGACTGTTTGGCACCCTGCAATGGTGCCCTCTATTGGCTGGTAGATGTAAACATAAACCCAGTGTTGTGCCCATCAAAAAGAAAACATTTGATTTTTGTTATTTAAAATATAGCTTTTAAAGGAAACACTGTACCTTCATTCTGCACACCTCTAAAAAGCCTGTAGGTTTAAAAAAAATGAAATAGCTTTTAAAAAAATTGTTCCACATTCAGCCTTTAAAGAGACAATGTGTAGTTTTTACTGTTATTCTCTGGAAATGTCCATTGAAACATTGAGAATGAATCAAATGATTTTTAGTTGCCAAAAAAGTACCATTTATCTAAAAAAAAGGGTCACGCTGAGGTCACATGCTTTCTGCCCCACAGGTAACAACGTTTGCCATAATGTTTTTAAACTAGAGACAGTCACAGCAATATGGTATAAAATGACCCTGAAATGTATGCATGTACTGCCCCCTAGTGGTGGGAAACTACACACAGCCACTTTAATATTTTTTAACAAAGGTAAATACAAGAATGCCCAAACATGGATGTCCAATGAGGGCACACCACCGCCCCGACAACCTTCTGTAACTTGTGCTCTTATTTTGAAACTCTTATTCAAAAATGACATTTCAATTCATCAGATTTTTAGCCTAGCATGTTCAGAGTAATAAAGAATGTTTTGCTTAATAAAAAAAAATCATGTTTAGTTTGAGGGCTGCGCAGTGGTTAGAGCTGTTGCCTTGCAGCAAGGAGGTCCTGGGTTTGCTTCCCGGCCTGGGATCTTTCTGCACGGAGTTTGCATGTTCTCCCTGTGCATGCGTGGGTTTTCTCCGGGTACTCCGGCTTCCTCCCACAGTCCAAAAACATGACCGTTAGGTTGATTGGTCTGCCTAAATTGTCGTTAGGTGTGAGTGTGTGTGTGCATGATTGTTTGTCCTGTGTGTGTCTCTGTGTTGCCCTGCGATGGACTGGCTCTCTGTCCAGGGTGTACCCCGCCTGGTTGCCCGTTGACCGCTGGAGATAAACCCCCCCCCCCCCCCCACACCCTGTGTGGACAAAGCGGGTTCAGAAAATGGATGGATGGATGTTTAGTTTGAAGCAGACTTTAATTTGCTTCCTTGTGGATTTTACTCATTAAAGATTCAGCTCGAACCATGCATAAACAGTGTCTCCAGTCGCAGAAGAAACATGTTTGCAAGCTGCTTCCTGTTTTCCCACAACATCCCACCATATGGATCCCCAAGCCATCTGGTTCATCAGGTAGTGATTATTTAGACACAAACATGTTTAAGCCTCAGATTTCTCTGTCAGCAAACAAGTGACAAACGGACCCGTCTTGATTCACCATTGCTGGAAAGAAACACTCCTAATCAAGATGTATTAAATTAATTTGAAGGGTTGAGTTATATTTTAAAATGCAACCCTCGTGTGAGTTATCATGTCATGGTATTAAAGTGGATATTTATGTGTACAAAAGTAACAAGATTTCAGAAACAGAGCAGATATCTTCCAATAATTTACCCATGAAATACAGAACAGAGCCACTAATGTTAGTTGACATACCGTGATTAAATGTCGCCATGACAAGCTTGTTGAACAGTTTAACACACGTAAGTAACAAATCCAGCATGCCCGGTGGCAGCAAGATGAAATAGGAATGGAGAGATTTGTTTATTTTTATGTACCTGCTTGTGTATTCTCTCGTTGCGATGATAAATCTGCAGCGCTGGCCACAGTTGGGCTAACATCTTTCTCCTTAGAGAGGGGGCATTCAAGTCCACCATCAGCCTCTAACAGACTCTCCCTGGAGAACTCTGCAAGGGGAGGAGACACACAAAGAGGATGAGCTGGAAGACCAGGCTGACCTGCCAAAATCAGAGCAACACACAACACTAAGCAGTGAAATGATGCTGCTGCACAGAACCGCTCCTCCTCTCATCAGTCAATGCCACCTGACATTTCCAGCTGAAGGTTATTTACTCTTCACAACCAACTTAAACATCTGATCTTTGATTGAATCCATACCCGGCAGGGCTGGTGTTAATGGTCATTGATTTGTGTTCCCAAGCTTCCTCTTTGTTTCTTTCATCTAGACTGAGAACTTCATTTGCGGCTCCACCGGTGAACAATTTATAAAGAACATGGTCAGCTGGAGTGCAGCTTTTAAGTTTCACACACACACACACACACACACACACACACACACACACACACACACACTCACACACTCACAGAATAAATAGACTAAAGCATCTGGCCAGTGAAGGAAAATTTAACTGTTGCTCAACGATGCATTAGTCTTGGGTAATTACTGAAGACTTGTGTGTGTGTACTGCACGCCTCCGATCATGACGGCGATTTATTTATCCTGAGTAAGCCCCCACAATGCGGGACAGAAATTGGGGCCAATGTGGAAGTGAAATAAATTGCAGTTCCACCCTCATCCGCTGGGGGCTGGTGTCAGAAGAGAGCAGATCCTCATTGACTCCCATGTTAAAAATACCAATTTCACAGCAGAAATAAACATGTTTACAGCCTGGTACCAAAACATGTTTTCGGTTTAAATTATCTAGTTTACACTCATGACAACTCTGAGGGGGGTGAATTTTTTTCTCACTCTTCTGTTTAAGTGTATTAAAAGCCTAAAATTTTGAATAATTAATGAGCATCCGACCCACGTGACTGCAGAGCTAGCTAGCTCCGGGGAAAGGCCTCAGTCTGAGCCTCAGCCTCGCCTGAAAACTGTTCCGTCTCTCAACTTAGACCATTAGTTGTAGTGTTTGTGTATTCTGTTTTGGATATTTTTTGTGCAATTGTTGGACAAAATGACTTGCTGTGCCATTAATTGCACTAATAGAGCGTCCAAGGAGTCTCCACTTCATTTTTTGTCGGTAAGTAAAATCATATTTATGTATTTTAGGTCACTGCCGAGCTGAGCTTAGATTTTAACATGTACTGTTTAACCATGAAATTTAAATGTAATAGGGTAAAACCCAGTGCATTTAACATAATGCTGCACTTTAGAAAATGGGTTGAAATATAACATGTTGGTGGAGCTGGGTTCTTACTATCGGCTTGTGGAGCTCTCGGGAGACCTCTGTTTTCCACCCGTTTCTCCCCTCCCCACAGCTCGATGCATCCCTGATTGCCGCGGCTCCTGTCTGCTGCGCGGGCTGCCGGCTTGTGGAGCTCTCGGATGGAAATCTTTCCACCCGGTTCTCCCCAGCTGCAGCTCTGCGCATCTGAGATTGCAGCGGCGCTTGTCTGCTGCGCGGGCTGCCGGCTTGTGGAGCTCTCGGGAGACCTCTGTGTTCCACCCGGTTTTACCCAGCGGTCAGCCCGGCGTATATCTGACTCAGAAGCTCTGGTGTTGTGCACAGTTAACTCCAGTTGTAGCTAGGTTGCTACCTCCGTTAGCTTAGCTCCCACCTCTGTGTTAGCTTTGGGTTAGCTTCAGGTTAGCTTGTAGCTAGTTCGACCAGATGTCGTCAGTTGATCCCAGCCTTACAGCCCCACCCTCAGCTCTACCTCTCTTCCCTTTTCAAGTGGTGCTTGCTGCAGAACCACAAAGGCGGAGCTGCACCAGAAGGTGGAGCTGCACCAGAGTCAGCCCCGCCCATTCCAGAATCAGCCCTGCCCATTCCATCAGAGTCAGTCCAATTCCTTCCAGTTGTCAGACTTGATAGCATTCTGGAACCAAAGAGGGTGTTATAGCTAAAAAATGCAAGATTGAGGATGGAGTTGAGAAGTTAATTGAACAGTTTTTGTAAAGGTTCCATATAATTGAAAATCTAACTTTTGGAACTTTTAATCATGTTATATTGTCATTTCCTCATAAGAAACATGCCAAAGCAATTTTTAGCCTCATTCATGCATTTTCCTCCCATCTCAGCTTCAATTTGGTCTCCTCCCCCGAAGCGGGTCTGGTCTTGGTTCTCAAATCTGGATATTCTGTGAATTTTCTGACAAATTATTTCTGAAATGACTTCTACTGAGACACCGCCGAAAAACCATACAACCCATCTCAGAGACACACTGAGCAGCACAATTAGATGTAACGCCGCATAAGTTATAACAGATGTGGTGGTGTAGTGGTTATGGAGTCAGGCTAACATTTAGTTTTGCGCAGGTTCGCCTCCCATTACTGTAAGTTTTAGGTAGTGTACAACCTCTTTTCTTCATTTCTAGCTACACTTGCCAGTACTATGTTTACAACAATTTACTGGTATACAGTTTAACATATAATGACTAATGTGTTTTTTTTATTTATTTATTCGTTTATTTAGCCAGTGTGAGTCCATTTGTGAGCAGAGTTTCAACTAAAATGCTGTTTAGGAACGACCAAATTCAAAGAACTTTTACAGACATAAATATTTTGCTGAAAATAAACATTACAACTAAAATATAAACAAATTAAATGTTTCAGCTGGCTAAATAGATTGCTGACGACCCCACCAAGAATCGAACCAGCATCAGCTGAGGGGAAAGCAAATCTTAACTCACACGATCTCGCCACTAGACTACCAAGGCCCGTTCAAAAGTTTGAAATGCTGTTATACACCATTTCTGTTAGACCGGCTGTGGGCAGATATTCGCTGAGAAAAGCCTTTTCATTTCGAGATATATTCAGTCTTTGTCATGTAGCAAGTTATATTTATCTTGTTTAATTGGAGCATAGGACATAGCATTAACGACTGTAAACTAGTAACAGCCGTAATTCATGTGGGTCAGGTCAGTTTGCGATAAAGTTGAAAACAAAAACGGAAGTCAGTGGGCTAGGCTGAGTTTGCGTGAATGGGCGGGGCTGACTCTGGTGCAGCTCCACCTTATGATGCAGCTCCGCCTTTGTGGTTCTGCAGCGAGCACCCTCTCTCCCTTTTGTGGAATTGTCTGGGCTTGACGGAACCTGTGACACGGTCAAAATGGCGGTGGTGGCCACCTCCCATTTCCCCTCAAAAACATGTTATTGGAGCCTATGGAAGTGAATTGTGAAGAACTGAGATGGCGCTTGCGCACGGTCACGCTGCGAGCTGCTCGTCCTCTTTACGCACTGATGCCTTGCATTTTATCGGTTTTTATTGGAGTTTTATTGGCTTTTATGCACTTTTCTTGTCGCTGATCCCTTTTTTGAATGGTGTGGATCCTCTGCTGACATATGATCGAGCTGCGCTGCTGGGGCTTCGTCCTTCCGTTGATGTGGCCGGCGGCGCGCGCTGGGAACCGGGCTGTGCGAGCTATGGGCCTCACGGACGATGCTGCTGGTTGAACTGCCCGCGTGCTCTCTCCACCCAGGCCGTGATGTGTCGGCCCTCTGTCCGCCCCAGCTCGAGAAGGAAGCATCGGAGAAGACGAGGAAAGAGAGGTAGCCGGCGCGTGAGACGTCGGCCTGGATCCCTGAACAAGCGGCTGGCCCGATCCGGCCCAGCTTCTGACCCGATGGTTCCGAGATGTCTCCTGGATTACTCGGCGCCCTGCCCAGGGAACTCGGCCGGCTCTGATGGTGTATCGGCACCGCGCCACGGCCGATCGGCTCGAAGATCACGCCAGACTGGGGTTTGCTGGGAGAATCTGCGCTCGGTTACGGGCACAGAGTTAGAGGGGACTGGGTCCGTGCGCGATCTCTGTGCTGCAGCCCCGCTGCAGACCCGGTTTGGTTTGGTCAATGCCAGGTCTGTGCTGAACAAAACTTTTATTCTTCGTGACTTTTTTATTCAGCATGACCTGGGTTTTCTCTGCATCTGTGAGTCCTGGATCCCGTTTGGCGACACAAGTTCCCTACTCGAGCTCATACCACCTGGCTGCTCGTGTTTTAATATCCCCAGGTCACGGGGCAGAGGTGGAGGGATGGTTGTTGTTTTTAAATCCAGCTTTCCTTGTAAACAGCTTACACCCACCATGTCATTTTCTTCCTTTGAACTGTGCTTATTTGAACTGTGCATCTACCCCAGTCTGCTCGTTGTGCTGATTTATCGGCCTCCAAAGACTGACTCTAACTTCCTTAATGATTTCTGTGATCTTGTGGCAGACTGCATCCTAAAATATGATTATGTCCTATTTTTTGGTGATTTTAACATCCATATCTGCTGTCCTGATAATGTGCTTGCTAAAGGTTTTTTTAATTTGCTAGAGTCATTCAATCTAACTCAATGGGTATCATCCCCAACTCATGCCAGGGGTCACACCCTGGACCTGGTTATCTCTTATGGTCTACCCATCATGAACCTTGTGACTTTGCCTCCTGTGTTCTCTGACCACTCTCCAATACTCTGTGATGTTACGTTGCCATGTCCTGTCCCTGTGTGTGAAGCTCCAGCTACTAGGTTCAGAGCCCTGGATGCAGAAACAATTTCAAAGTTTGTGGACTGTATGTCTGTAAGGTTAGAGACCTTTAACCCTGATCCATCTAACGTTGATCACTATTCACAACACTTTGATGTACTTTGTAATCAGGTCCTGGACGTGGTTGCCCCTCTCAAGCTTTGCAAGTCTCGGCCAAGGAGGGAGCCTTGGCTCTCTGATGTCACACGGGCTTGTAGGCGGGCGTGTAGATCCTCTGAGAGAAAGTGGAAAAAGGATGGCCTACAGGTCTCGCGTGAGTTGTTCAGAGTATCTCTAGTTGCTTATCAGGATGCAGTGAGGGCCGCCAGAATGGCCTATTTTGCAGACATCATTGAGACAAACTCCAATAATCCTAAGATTCTCTTCAAAACGCTAAACTCAGTTCTGGTGTATCAGGAGCCTAGCACCATGTCTCCTACAGCTGCTGGAAACTCTGAAGCTTTTCACAAATTCTTTGTTGATAAAGTGTCGGGCATTAGAGCAGTCATTTCTGGTAACTCTGTTGACCCTGTTCCAGTTCCTCCATCACCACCCACCCTGAGCTCCCTCAATACTGTTTCATACTCTGAGCTGAGTAAGCTAGTTGCGAGGCAGAAGCCATCTGGCTCTCCACTTGATGTTCTACCGCCTCGTCTCTGGAAGGCTGCCTTTGCGTGCCTTGGCCCTTCACTTGGTCAGATTATCAATGGGAGCCTCAGCACAGGTGTGGTCCCAGCTGCTTTGAAAGCAACAGTTATTCGGCCGACCCTGAAGAAACCTGGTGCTGATGTCTCTGTGATAGAAAATGACAGGCCTATCTCTACCCTGCCCTTTACATCTAAACTGCTTGAGAAAGTCGTTTATCAGCAGCTGGTCTCACATTTAGCTGACTCTGATCTGTTTGAGGTTTTCCAATCAGGGTTCAGGTCTGGCCATAGCACAGAGTCTGCTCTACTGAGGGTCCTAAATGACATCTATCTATCACTAGATCAGGGAACATCTGTGCTGCTTCTGTTATTAGACCTGACAGCAGCCTTCGACACAGTTGACCATGTGATTCTACTCGATCGCTTGGAACGATGGGTTGGGATCAAAGGGTCAGCTCTGGACTGGTTTAGATCGTATCTCCAAAACAGGACATTCTGTGTTAAACTGGGTGATGTTTTCTCTTCTTGTGAGGGGCTCCGGTGGGGGGTCCCGCAGGGGTCGATCCTTGGTCCACTTTTGTTTGCCATTTATCTGCTACCTCTGGGGTCAATCTTTGGTAAACATGGCCTATCATTCCATCTGTATGCTGACGATTGCCAGATTTACTCTCCATTGTGTCAGGAGAAAGGTCACTCTATTCAGTCCTTTGTCTCCTGTGTTAATGAGGTGAAGTATTGGCTAATGTCCAACTATCTACATCTGAATGAGGGAAAGACAGAGCTCATTGTTTTTCACCCCAACAGCAGGAATGTGGATCGTTATGCTGATCTTGGCCCTCTTTCTCCATACTCAAAACCAGTTGTTACCAGTTTGGGGGTGAAACTTGATGTAGGACTTAAATTTGATGCTCACATCAATTCTGTGATCCGGTCCAGTTTCTTTCACCTGAGACGCCTTGCTAAAATCAAGCATATGCTGTCGAGAGCCCACCTGGAGCGGGTACTGCATGCCTTTGTAATTTCTCGGCTTGACTACTGCAGCTCTCTCTACGCAGGGTTGTGTCAGTCAACACTGCGTCGCCTACAGGTTGTGCAGAACAGCGCTGCCAAGTTCCTGACTGGGACCAGGAAACGGGACCACATCAGTCCAGTTCTGGCCTCCCTGCACTGGCTTCCAATTTCCTATCGCTCACAATTCAAAATACACGTCTTTGTTTATCATTTCTTCCAGGGTGGTGCTCCCCCCTATCTGGCCACACTCCTGAACAGACATTCCCCATCACGCGCTCTGCGCTCCTCTGACCAAGGCCTGCTCGCTGTCCCTCGGTCTAGGTGTCGTACCCGTGGGGACCGGGCTTTCTCAGTCCTAGCACCGTTACTCTGGAACCAGTTGCCACCCTCAGTTAGGCTGTCCCCTTCGCTGCCAGTCTTTAAGAATCACCTAAAAACACACCTCCTCCGCTTGGCGTTTCCAGAACATGTTTGATTATGGCCCTCTATTATGTTGAATCCATTCCACAGTTTTCATTGGTACACTCAATCCATCCACTCAATCCAATTGTGTTTCACACATTTGTATTTTACCGGAATGTTTCATCTATCTTGTTATTTCCATTTTGTATTTTGTCATTTGTATTTTGTAATTTGAATTTCTTTTATTGTTGATTTATTCAGTATAATTACTTACAACTGTACCATGTTCAGCGCTTTGGGCTTCCTGACAGGGTTGCGGAAGGCGCTTTATAAATAAAGCATTGATTGATTGATTGATTGAATGAATTGTCCAGTATATATGTCAATGATCCTGAGCTAAGCCGCTCCGGTCATTAGAGGTAAAACACGTTAGCTCAGCCTCTCTGCCTGTTTGATCATGACCCTGTCCTGCTGGGAGTTTAAAAATAAAAAATCAATACCATTCCTAATCATAATGTGTGGCCTAAAACAGCAACTCTATTATCCCGTGACATTCTAATATATCTCAGAGTTTAATGATTATTTATATTTTTTAGTACAAATAAATGATTGCTGGTGTTTTACTGTAAACCCTTCTAATCATAAAATTGTTCCAAACTTTAAATGAAGCTGGTTTCCATAAATGTTTAGCTCACTAGCAGCTAAATAACTTCATATTTGTCAGACTTAAGTTTTGTTTTTTGTTCTTTTGATAAAAGCAAACTTCATTCATAAAACATTCTCCTTTTTAAACATTCTTAATATTAAATTTTTCATCTGTGTTTTACTTCTTTTTCTTGTTTCACATAATGACCCGTAAGGATTTTTTCTCTTAAGGTAAAATAGGTCAATGGTCAATACAAGACATTTTATGAAGTTCTTTTCACTAAACTATATCACATAACCAGTTTTATTTTGACATGTTCAGTATATTCCAGAATGAGCCATTTCAGGCCTTTGTCAATTTAAAAAAACAAGCTGGCGATGGCCACGCACACCCATACCCCGCTTTGGCTGCTATAAGCTGAGAAGCTCAGATGTCCAGGTTGGGCTCAGAGTAGAGTTGCTGCTGCTCTCTTGCAAGTGAGATGGGGCTCTATTCTAATTTCCACATTTGTGGCATCCCAAACGGGAATCTTTTGAAATGACTTCTTCTGACAACTAATTAAAAATAACACTGACAGAAGAAGGATGGACTGTTATTTTTTCACATTTGGAGTGTTTATAAAAGCAGTAGAGACGCACATGGCAGCATGAAAGAACACAAAACCTGACTTTTGCATAATATGTCCCCTTAAAAAAGTCTTCTGGAACATGATTTCTATCTCATTCACACATTTTCATCTTACTTTTCTATTTTTTCCCAGTTTATGATTTCACTTGACTTTTTATATTTCCATTTATATTGCTATTTGTTCTCTGTTTCAACATGGTTGTATTTTTCTTTACAGCAAAATAATATATGCTGCTTTTATGCTGCTTTTGTTTTGGGGTTTATTGCTCCTAAGTGAGAACTGCCCTGGATTTTTGCAAGTAAAGACTAACATTGATGTCCTCATCGTATGAGAGTGGATCTTTTACCAGCACTGGTAAAATGTGACATTCTTATATTTCACAGAAAACCACTAAGCCACTTTAATAGCTTTGTTTCTTTTCAGTGCTCAAACTCCTTCTACCTTTATCTCATCCTGCTTTCTCTTTTTTACATTTTCTTTCACGCAGACCACGTAACTGATAAAACAGTTGTCAGTTTGGTCACACTGGCTGAAACTTAAAGGTAAAAATAACTAACATACTTGTATGAAATTGTAAACCCCAGAAACAAATTTCCATCAGTTTCATCACCTTCCATTTGGCAGCGCAGTTTCTCAAAGGCCTCTGCTGTGGCCTCGTCGTCGTGTGGGAGCTCCTCTCCGGTGGGAACGGAGTCAGGACTGGGTCGGTCTGACAAGCAGCTCTCTGAGGAGCATTCATCTCCACCTCCCTGCTGCTGTCTGTACAGGTGGTGCTCTACCAGGAACTGCAGTTCTGGAGGTGCAGGAAGACACAAATACGGCAATCAGAAGGTGCAAGAAAGGACAGTTTATTGTGTGAGTAGAAAAACAGAAATATTCAACAAAAAAACCTAAAAAAGAAGAGGGAAAAGCTGCATCAGAGCTGAGAAAACTACCTTCAGGCATCCTTTTGTAGTTGTATTCTTCTTGCAGAGTGAAACTAACATAATGATGATTGCTACTGGAAAAATAAAACATTATCCTCACAGCATAATAAGCAAAGTACAAACAAATACAGCACAGCTCCAAATTTAAGCTGCAAACTATTCACTTATGCTCTCTTGCTTTACTGCACACTAAGTGCTCCAGCAACCAGTCTCATTCTTGAAACTGTAAACCTAAAATAGCATCTGCACTGCTGTGACCTAAAAACAAAAACGTAAAGAATGCATCAAGAGTTGGGAAACTTCTCCAGTTTTTTTCTTTTGAGTCCTATGGCTGCTTTTTGAGAGCTTGCACAGGTCAACGTGCCTTAGTCTACACAGACCCATTCCTTAAGTCTAAAACAAGACTGAGGAGGAGCCCTGGTCTGAAAACAGATCATGAGTTTTAGTTGAAGAAAGCTGACAAATTTAGGCGTTGGACACTAAATTTGGAAGTAGCTTAAACTTCATGCGTGTGTGTGTGTGTGTGTGTGTGTGGGGGGGGGGGGGGGGGGGGGGGGCAAATTTGCAAGGGTGCATACATCTTCTGCAAGAAGTAGCATCTACCTTTCATTGTCGGTGTTCCCTTTTGTCCTTTCCGTCGTTGTCGAGGAGAATTCAACAAGGCTGCCTGAAAAATATCCACTCAGAATCAGCTTAGCAGAACAGAGAGAGGGACGAGAGTATTTCAACAGATTCAGAGCTAAATTTGTGTTTATCATGTAATATCTTTATTTAGAGCTCAAATTCAACTACCTTGTACAGCTGATTTGGAAGTCGATCTTCGTCTATTTCTGTGGAACAAAAAAAAACATTTATTTTGGCATCAAACTCAAGTATGGTAAAAAAAAAAAAAAAAACGATTTTAGCACAGTGATAGTTTCTGTTTGTTGTGCATCCAGGCAGGGCCGTGCAGAGACTTTTGAAGGGGCGGGTTTTCAAAGTAAAAAAAAAAAGGGGGGGGCACTTATAGAGCAAAACTTTTAAACAGATTCACGATCCAACAAGTTTCAAAATTCAGATAATGAGACCCTTGGGTTCAAACAACATAATAAACTAGGAAAAATATGGTATTTTGTGTCATAAATTGAAGTTAATGTTAGTTCATAAATGACTGTTTTAGTTTTTAAAGCTGACTCATATCTAGAGATGTTACAACCACATGTTTGCCCCTGATCTGAGTCCAAGTTGTGTGATATTTGATTATCTTTCAATACTGAGTCCTGTTCTGATATCAGGTGGTGATGCAACGCATTATAAAAGAAGAAAGAAGTTGTCCTTCTGTCTGTATTTGTCATTTTATTTTAGCCTTATAAGGTCACTCATTCAGGAAGTACAGTAGTATTCAAGATTCAAGATAATTTATTATTATTACACAGGTGTACAACCAAACTGACTTTGTGCTTACTAAAGACAGCTCTGGTAAGAGGTAGTAAAATAAATGTAAAATAAATGTAACCACAGTTGCAATCCAGTGTGATCTACAGCTATGTTAGCGGAGATCTTTTTCCTGTCAGTAGGAAATCCTTGATCCCATTCCATGATCTCACTGAACTTATCACTAAACATGAGAGCTCTGCTACCAACCTAACAACACCCTTTACACAAAGGCACCATCATCACATACGTGGCAGGAGTCTCAGATAAACTTAGAAGAATCTTCTCCAAACACAACATCCCAGTAAACTTTAAACCCAACAACACCCTCAGACAGAACCTGGTCCATCCTAAAGACAAAACACCCAAACAGAAGCTCAGTGGCATTGTTTATGCAGTCCAGTGAGGACTGTCCAGATGTTTACATTGGGTAAACTAAACAACAATCACACAAGAACATGGCACAACACAGGAGAGCCACCTCTTCAGGTCAAGATTGCAGTCAACCTACACCTGAAGGACAAGGGACACACCTTTGAAGATGACAAAGTACACATTCTGGACAGAAGATAGATGGGGAAAGGAGTAAAAGAAGCTATCTATGTCAAATGTAAAAAAAAAATCTACTTTCAATAGGGGAGGGGCTTAGATTTCACCTTCCCAGTACCTATAATGCAGATTTGAATCTCATTCCTAAGCAGTTTCAGTCTAGGTCACACCTTCATGCATCTAATCAACACAACGACTCATCAGGGGATGGAGAGGAGGGATACTCAGAGTAGTTTCTGCTCGTTAAATAACAACAGACAGCTACAGCTTATAAGCTTGACTCTCCCATATTCCAGTCAGAATTGATAAAGTTTCTTGGATGACAAATGAATAGTCTTCAAGAAACCAAAGAAGTCCAGTTGCCTTCATTTGCACCCTTTGGAGTAATCGTTGATAATAAAAAATACATAATAAAGTAATAAAACTTATATATTTATGCTCACATTCACTTTCACCATCTCTTAGTGGGAGGCAGAAAATGTATCACGTTTAACCCTCTTATGACCATAAATATAACAGGTATTATTTTTTTGTTTTATGGCTTTAAAATTGTAATAAAAGTGTAAAATGTTGTAACTCTGCTCCTTTTTTCAGAACAACCTCAGCTTTCAGTGTCTGGTGTGTATTTAGTGTTTATGTTTATTAAAGTGTGTAAAACTGCAGCTTAAATGAAAAGAAAAACGGATTTGAATTTTCTTTACATTTATTACTAAACAGGAACTTCTAAATGACTTGAGCAAAAAGAACAATTTAAACTCAGAACTGCAAACACTCAGAAAACAGCGTGACCTCTGGCCTCACGTTTACCAGTTTTACTGCAGCCCTGTCTGTGACCACAGGTGTGTTCAGAGAATAGGATACAGTAAAATAAATGAGGTAACATAAGATAACACTCACACATCACAACTGTAGGTACATTTCTACGAGCATTATAAAGATCAATAAGCTGATAAAAAGGGAAATCTAAAATTCTGCACTGATATAAAATTCTATTTTCAGCTAGATAAATATTTAATGTAAATATCAATGATGCTGGAATGAATCTGAATCTTCCATCTAGTAAATAGTGTTCAACTAAAAACCAGTGTGACTGTAATCTGTCCGTCCTCATGTCACCATCTACAGAAACAGCCTTCTGGGACACCTGACCAACCAGGTGGATTTTCTGCCAGAGCCAGATAGTTGCTTTTTAACTCACTATTGTGGATTTTAGGTTCTCTACTTCTGCTGCTCTGCATTCATACATGAAGTTATGAGCAACTCTCTAGCGAGCAGCCAAAGTACCTCTGTAGATAACCCTGTATCTGAAACAATGCTGATGCTGCAAATTCTGGTATTGTATATTTATGCTTATTTTCTTCATAAAAAGTTTATTTTTGCATAATCTCTTCAATTCAACCTAAAGTCTGAAATCTGTAAAACACAAAAAACATAAATACTTTGTGAAATAGATGCAATTTCAGTTTTGTTTGGTTTATTTGAATGAAATTTAAATCACTAATGAAAGCCGGTGGAAGATCGAGAAGAAGAGAAACAACATTTTTTTTAATAAAAGGGCCCTAAGTAATAAAAAAGGGAGCAGTTTTCACTATCAAAATGGCTAAAGGGAGAGGAAAACAGTCCCTCCCACAGTAAAGCCACTGATGGAATCCAAACCTGAGTATCTTAAAACTGCATCTAATCTACAAATTACAGCTGTGAACTTTTTTCTAGGACACCAGCTTGTTGCTTAGCAACCTATGCATCCCTAGACACAGGAAACTTATGTGTGTGTGTTCCATCAATTGTGTGCATAATAATCCTGCATATGTGTTGGCTTTTCAATTTTCCTGTGATGCATTTGTTTCTAGGTTTCCCAGTTTGCACCACCACCAAATCCAGAGATCCAACTTAAACAATTCTGAAATTCAGTTTTGAGTTGAATTTGTCTATAAGTCTGCTTAATAATAGCCAAAAGCTGCCAAAAGTCAGGTGGTTTTATTTCAGGCATTATTTATTTGATTCCAGATATTTTCCAGGAAACAGGCGTAATGTGCACCAGACATGGTTTGTAAATTTAGATCAACTGTTTTGATTAAACCCTGCAAAACAACAAACTGGCTGTAGAATAAAACTGTAAAACAGATGTCATCTTGGAAAAATACACATTTGTTTGCATGTATCCAGAAAAAAACGATGAAAACAAGCATGATGGATATTTTTATTATGTTTTTAGTGATGTCTTAAAGGTGGGTCTAAATAATAAAAAAAATTATTAATCAAGTTATTTATTCTTGTTAGTTTATTCTTTACAGATCTAAAGTAAACCACATCTATAAAGTGAAGCTGATGCAGTAATAGTTTGGGCAAATAGAAAACTTAACAAAATAATGAAATCATGTTGGTCAAACACTTTTTAATGATTACACTTCGTTCATTTTTTGCTTGTATTTTGTTTGTTTTTTGCTGTCATTAAATATTTAGACAATTTTTTACAGTTGTGCTCAAAATCCCTCCTGTGGATGATAAATGAACCTTCAGCATGCAAGCTCATTTCTGGTTTTATCTCATCTGCTTCATAGCGCACACAGTTTAAAACACCTCAGATCCGTTCACTCCAGAGAATAAAATTTTAGTTTTTACGTTAAAGTTGGCAGTTAGAATGATCGTTATACAGCAGCTGAAGCTGAAACCTTGGAGGAGAAAGCCACTGCACTTTAATTTGTGCAAACAAAGTGCTGCAGACACGGTTGAAAAGCCTATTTGGGTCAAGAAATGTAAAACTTGGCATTCGCCCGACAGATTCTGAAAATGTTTTGGCTGCGTGTGCAGCCCATCTGCACTGCAGGATGGGAGAAAAGGTCAATAAAAAAGCTGTTTCAGCAGAGATGAGTCTATCACTGGAACTCCCAGCTGACTGATGGAGACAAAGCAAGATGAGAACAAAGAGAGGTTTCCCACTTGCAGCTAAGTCTCCTTGTTTCTACTGAGTCTGTTCAAAGTTGCTTAGCAGCATCAGATAAAAATAAAAGCAAAGCAAGAAAACTCTTTTTCACTGAGATCAGGAAACAGAAAGCTGCACTTCAAAATACTCTTTTGTCTTTTGTTGAGGCTCTTGTTGCTTAAAGAGAGAGAGAGGAAGAAGGCTATTTATTTAATTAACCACAAGTGGCTCCTTTCTTTTTATTTTAAACACTTACTTTTGTCTGTACCCAAACAAAAGAGCCACTAAATGCTCATCTGTATCAGCTACAGTCCCATCTCAATAAGGATGATGAAAACAAAACATGCTGTTACTATGGAAATACAAACATAATGGTATCCATCACCTCTGTGTGCGTTCAGAACAATCCATTCTAATTCGTCTCTGTTCTGGTCCAAAACTCCTATTTTTCATTCTTTAATACCATTAAATATCTTATTTTTTATTTTCTTTACCTTTCTCTAATTTAGTCCGTTATTCTGTCCGCTTAACACTACATTCTTGTTTAATACATTTAAGATGGAACAAAGAAAGTGGTTGACTCAGTTGACAGGAAGATGACAAGACAGCCAATAATAAAACTTGTAAAAGTAAGTAAAATGTTGAGATTTTAAACATCATTCAGGGTCGGATAGGTCCTTCAGAATCCTGACGAATAAAGGTTTGTAGAAAAGAAACAAGAACGCCTTTCAAAAACGTTATCATTTAAATATTTGTTGAAAATAAAAAATTGTGTTGCATATTTTCCCTAGCGATAGGGGGCAGAACACATCTAAACATTTTCAGACAAGCTGCATTTTTGTGTTTGAGTGAGACCTTCAACAGATGGCCATTAGGGTCAAACATCTATGGAAGCATAACCTCCGGCAAAATGATAAGCACATCAGACATCTTTGTATCGCCTGATTTATACTTCTCGTCTGCGTTGGTGCTTAAACACGCAAGAGCATTATGCGTCGGCACAAGGGCTCTTTGACAGGCTCACAGAGCAAGATGGAGACCGCAAGCTTGTGATTGGTAGGGACACCGCTTTGTCAACACCGCCATTGCCCCGTCAAAAAGTAAAACGACATTTAGTGGCAGAAACGCAACAGGTTTAAGAATGCATCACGGAAAAATTCCATGACATGGCAAAGAAGGAGCATGCAGGGCGCTTCTGGCACCTAGCTTTCTGATTGGCTACAGGTAACATTGAACAGGAATCAAGACAATCCAACATGTTTAATAGCTTTGATATAGAATCTGAGCTGTTCCAACAAGTAAACCTGAGTGCACTTAACACACCGCACATGACAGGAATATCCATTTGGAAAGTTCCTGATCCCAGTTTTTCTTTTTGTTTGATTTCAGTGGAAGTTCCCGAAGAATCAGTGAAGACAAATTCTCCAGAAGCCAGGCTCCGTCTTGGAGAACCCAGAGTTTTGATCCATCCTCCATCATTACTTCACCTTGAATAAGGATCTCCATTGATTTTTTTTCAACTGATGTGCTTTTGAAGTTGAAGATGCTCAGAGGAGGGCAATCTGCAGCACATTTAATAATGTAGGGCTGTGCCTGATGTGGGCCACACCATGACTGAACCAGCATCACTCCTCTTCCCCCTCATCATCATATCTCCCCACCCCCCATCTTTTTGAAACCATCTCTTTCTCCCAAGAACTCATAAAGATCACAACACCAGTGTTTCTGTCTGCCTCTGCTCGTCTAAGTTCATCCAGTCTCCCTTTGTAATTTTGTTATCATATGAGACGTTAAAGATACCGCCTGAGATATTTTTTTGCGCTTTTTTATTTCTTGAAATACTCTTCACATTCTGATGGTAACCAAAAAACGAAATGTTCTATCAAATAATGAAAAAATCTAATCACCTCTGTAACCTACAATCTTGGAAAACACTTATCCAGTCATGTGCTGGTTCCCCTGTCAAACTGTTAGATCATAACCCATCCATCAAACTCCCCTTTTGAATGACTCTCACCCCGCTGCACAGAACACCCTCTGTGTGTGAAATGCTCGCTTTCAGCTCGGAGCAGCTGAACAGTAGGCTAGCTGAGCTGCCAAGTGTCATGGACATGCGCCCCTTTATATTTGCAAATCACATTTAGGGAGTTGTTTACCATGTTCTGTTAAGAGTCTGGTTCTGATATTGCTATTGTTTGGAAACGCAGCTCAGTGTTGCTCCAGAAGTGTGTGTGTGTGTGTGTGTGTGTGTGTGTGTGTGTGTGTGTGTGTGTGTGTGTGTGTGTGTGTGTAGCTCAAAACAGGGTTCCTGCTCCTGCATGTTGCAAGCCGTTAACATTTTCTGTCGCCATCAGATTCTGAGGTTATAGTGGTGGTGGGGTGTTTGTGTGTGTGTGTGTGTGGGGGGGGGGGGGGGGGGGGGGGGGTTGAAGAAAGGGCCCGGACCTTTAAATTAATACTATTATTTTTTTTAATGTAGCTTAATAAAACGGCTTTTTCAGAGACTGACAAGAAACAGAGCAGCACTTGCCAAACTATAGACACCACTAAGATATGCACAAGATGGATTTGATTCATTTAGATACAACAACAAAACTTGCTTTGGATAGAATATAAATAAAGAAATACATAAATCATTACATTTTATTAAATCAAATCAAAAACACAGACATAAGTCAGCCTTTCGGATATGCAGAAATTACAATAATAAACGCTTCAGATGCCTACTCCTTGGGATCTGTTGCAGGAATAGAGTTCTCTGGAAAATCCATGAATACTCTTTCTAATTCTGACATCTGATTTCAGATTCCAGTCCCTTTGATTCACAGATACTCCTACACTTCACACCTTCTTAAAGCTCATCATTGTTGCACGTCTCTGACTCACTGTGGAGGGAGGAAGCTTTGTTAAGTTGTAAACTCACATTTGGATTTCCCTTGTGTTAAATTACTGAACCAAACCAGCAGATTTAATCACACAAAATGACAGAAATCAAATGCTTTACGGGGAAAACATGTTTTTGGGCATGTTTTAATGCTTTGCTCTAGATGCCATGGTAAAAATGTAAAGCCTTTAAAATTTTTGATAACATTTTTTGATGAATAATATTGAGTGTGTGTATTACACGACGAAAGGCTCATCGATTAACCAGCTCGATTTCTCACTCGCAGAGAAAGACCCCCCCCCCCCCCCCACCCCACCCCCCCACTCCCCCACCCCGATGTCTTGCTGATCATCTCTTTATGCTGCAGTGGGTCACTTTACACACACACACACACACACACACACACACACACACACACACACACACACACACACACACACACACGCACGCACGCACGCACGCACGCACACACACACACACACACACACAGCAAAGCAGAGCAGAGCAGAGTAGCACAAGGAGCCAATGGATGACTCATCCAGCAGGATATCTCCTCAGAGATTCGCTGTTGTGTTTGATCATTAAGATCCCGAGAGCATGCATGGTTGTTTTGGTTTTCTTAATGTAGTCAGAGATTTATTTGATGTGTAACGGAGCTGAGGTGCAGCATCACAGCAGTCACAATTAAACAGAGCTGACTTTTTACTAAACAAAACACCCTGCTACTGGAGTAATTGGAGTTCTTCTCCTCAGAACAAGCTCATGGGTTGTTTGTGCTTGTAGAAAGACCTGCATTTAAACAACGTGCAGCTTAGTGGTGGAGAAAGAAACTTTAAAGCCATTCATTACCATTCTGTTGGGATAACACTAAAAATACACTAATGAACAAATTTCATGCCAAAACACAGCTGGGAAGCGACAACAAAATAAAATGTCTGAGTGTTTATGTGTCTCCAGGGCAACCAAGAAAATACCATCTATTGATGTGAGTGTCACAGTGAAAAGATAATTTGTCCAAACCAGGACTAGTCCACAATCCCAGAGGCTTTTGTTGCCGTTATTCAGAATGAAAACCAAATATGCTGCAAGGATAAAAACTGCATACAAAAGAACGCAGCAGCAGAGCTGAGGTTTACTAATTTGCATCTGAGAAGAATAAAGCACTTTTTGTCTAATGTTGTTTCAGCTGAGATAATCTAATTAAAAACCCAAAAACAAATCAAAAATCCAAACATGGCAACGATAAATCACTGGGTTAGACAGAGAACAGTTCAGTCAGATAATCTGAGAACCATTTTTCTAAAAAAGAACTGAATCATTGTGCTGTGATGCAACATCCAGGAATATGAGCTAAACCGCAACAAGTTAAAAGTAACACAAACGCTTGAGGTGCCTAAATAAAGTTAAACAAGAAGAAATCAGTGGTGTTTTTCAGTAAATGGTGACACCACGTACTTTTGTTTAATAGTGTTTTTACACTAATTAAAAACCTTATTCGGCCTAAGAGAAACATTTGATCGTTTCCTAATATTTAAAACCTTAGAGGACTGAAAATAAAACATCTTATTTCTTCTTTACAAGAAAGATTAACTTAACTGAAAAATATAAACAACATACGAGTGAAAAAAATGCAAGCTAATGAAAAGCTAAACAGATAACAGGTTCACACATACAGAGAGTTAGAAACAAAACCCTAAACTTCCAGTTATGTGCGATGGAATTAATCTGATGCTGTTTTTTGACATAACAATTCTTGATTTGGAATTATTTTACACTCTAAGAAATGAAATGCTGAATTTAAAAAACCAGGCTATGTTAACTGGTTCCACTAAACTTAACTGCTTGACTGTTAAGATAAAAATATACATTGCTTTATGTTATGTTAAAAGAAAATGCATTTTACTCTGTACATTTAAGCAACTTGGTTTAGTGGAACCAACTGTCATAACTTGGTTAAGTAAATTCAACAAGTAATTTTAGAGTGCATTTTGAAAGTATTTGCAGATATTGTTGAAGCCTGTGTGTGTTTTTGTGTCAGTGATCTTTAGAGTCATGGAGTACAAGCTGTTTTATTTGGGACTGGTGTCACCTTATATCAAGCAAAACCCTCAGTAGCTTCAAATTAGCTATCAGTGAATCATCAATTAATGAAGTCCAGCTGACACACACAACAAAACCAATCTGAGTGTCGGCGTGTGTTTTACCTGGTGATGACTGATCACTGGATGCTACTAATGTAGCAGGTGTGGGTCTTCGTCTTCTGATCTGGAAAAAAAAAGTTTATTTTAACAAATTGCTACGAAAAAAGAATAATTACAATTTCCACAAAATGAGATAAATCAGATTATGATTAATATTCAGGTCAATTTAGCACATACATTAGAGTTTTTCTTTAATATGATAAAAGGCTGCAGTTTAAGTGTTGATACTTTAGCAGCACCTCCAGAGTCACACACGCATAAACCTTTGTTCTGCAGCTGATGGGTTGCTGAGTAAAGTTGTTTCTAAATGCTGCTGCTGCTGCTGCTGCACTTTAAAAGCAATGCAAACTCAGCCTGAACAGAGCATGTCATGTTGTGTTTTATTCCTGTGTTAATGAACAGAAATCTGAGCTACGTTGTCAAGTTTCAGTGAGTGAATGCAAAAAAGAACACTTATAAAAAGTTAAGCATCGTCTGCTGTTAACTGAGAAAAATGCATGAACCAAGTGTCACACGCAGTTGTTCTGATTTAGAAATGTATAAACATCAGAAAATAATAGAAATGAATCTGTTTTCTTAGTCTGCTTTTCTCTGTCAATCCCAACATCTGTTCAGTAGATCTGACAGCTTCCTGAGCAAACATACACTCAAATATATCAGCTTCAGAAGCTGTGCAAGGCTGTAGACCTAAATTAATAAGCTTCACCATGATATTGAATTGCTGATGTGACGGCAAAAAGGCACTGTAATGATAAATGAGAGGAATCAGTAATAGCAGATTTTAAATGAGTATTCAGATATGAAGAAGCTTTATTTGAAACCCAGCTGGAGTGAATAGATAGTGACACTGAATGATTTTCTTTTTATAACAGCTTGTAGAGATGGGTAACTGTTGTAAACACTTGTTTAAAAAGCACATGTCAGACAGATTCCCATGTTAGCTCCCTGCAGCCATCCCTTGGATGCTTACAGGTAAAAATGACTGCTAAATAAACATGTGAACAAATTTTGTGTGTAGATGCAAAAATATCCTCCAAACTGGAGGCAGCTCAACTAAAGTAAGATATTTTTATTAGATGCATCCCTGGTGTGGATTACAGTTTATTACAACAATTCAAAAGCAGTTGTTCTACAGTATGTGTGAATGCTGATAGTATACTCACACATCAGTTACCTCATTAGACTCGTGTGGGTGGCAGTGTGTGAAGACACAACAATCATTTGCAGTGAAATAATAACAATGATGTAAGTATTTTAGGAATTTTAGTGGTTTGCTTTTCTAATCCAGAAGCAAAATTCTAAATGCATTTTGTTCAGAATTTATGACAGACTAGAAAAGTGGATTCAACATTTAAAGTAAAAAAAACATCATCCTAACTAAGGTTGTCAGAATATTTGCACATGTTTGAAAAGCACGAATTTTACAAATAAACAAACTACTATCCTTTCTGCTTGCATGTTCTACTATAAAGGACAAAGTCTGAATGTTTGTTCTGAAATCCCCGTTAAGATTCTTGTGAATTCATGGACCTTGTCCAACAAGAAAAAAAATTTAAAAAAAGTTTTGTCCGTTGTCTTTAGAAGTTGCATTACTTTAAAAGTAGTTTGAAGTGACCTCCTGTGGTCAAATGTGGGTACTGCAGTCCACATTTCAAAACAAAGAGTCTGCTCTGAGCGGCTTTTACCAGCTACGGCTCAGTGCCAGAAGATTCTAGATGACAAGTGAAGACAAATCATACAAAGTGAGTTGATGAGTAGAATAATCTGTTGCACTATGGTATTGAGTTTTTGGTCATTTAAAAAAAGTAGCCTGAGATTAAAGCAGACAATTTGTTTTCTGTTATCACTGTTAGCTCAACGTTAGCCTTTGGCCTTCTTTACATGATATTAGAGTGAAGGATGCTGTAGCTGCTGCTCTGCCAGTGCAGCCACGTGAACCCCGCAGGCTCAAAAATAATTGGCTCTGAAACCAGGAAGTATGGAGGCAGGACAGATTGTGAACAAAGACTACTCCCCTCTTTGGCCTTTTCAAAAGGAGAAAAATGGGCAACCACTCGGCCGGCTGAGAAGAACATCTGTTTCAACATAAACTTTCTTCCAACATGATTAAGTCTTTAGACTGTTTTGTTATTATTTCACTGTAAAGTTTGTATGCATTGTACCTTTAAGTACCCTCTGTTCATTGAGCTCCACTGGCTACCGCTAGCAGCACGCATCAAATTCAAATTGCTAACACTAGCATACAAAGTCCGAGATGGTACGGCTCCCATCTACCTGAATCCTCTTGCAAAGGCTTACGTCCCGGCCGCTCCGGTCATCACAGGATCGTCAGCTAGCAGTGCCTACACCACGCTCAGGACAATCCAGGCTCTTCTCATGCATCGTTCCACAAATGTGGAAAGACCTACCAAGCACTGCCAGAACAGGGGGTTCCTTTTCAATTTTCAAGAAACTCCTGAAAACCCTGCTCTTCAGAGAGCATCTTCTAAACTAGCACCCTCTCTGCACCAGTCCTCCTCTCTACTGTCCACTCCCTGTTCCCTCCTCTCCATGATTGATGTCAAGTTGTTGTTGTTGTTGTTATTGTTGTTGTTAGCCTCAAGGGCAACATGCCGATTGTCACCTGTAAGTCGCTTTGGACAAAAGCGTCTGCTAAATACATAAACATAAACATACAGGTGCTGGCCAGTAAATTAGAATATCATCAAAAGGTTGAAAATATTTCAGTAATTCCATTCAAAACGTCAAACTTGTACATTATATTCATGCAATGCACACAGACCAATGTATTTCCAATGTTCATTACATTTAAATTTGATATTCATAAGTGACAACTAATGAAAACTCCAAATTTGGTATCTCAAAAAATTAGAATATTCTGAAAAGGCTGAATATAGAAGACACCTGCTGCCACTCTAATCAGCTGATTTACTCAAAACACCTGCAAAGGCCTTTAAAAGGTCCCTCAGTCTTGTTTTGAAGGCACCACAATCATGGGGAAGACTTCTGACTTAACAGCTGTCCAAAAGACAATCATTGACACCTTGCACAAGGAGGGCAAGACACAAAAGGTGATTGCTAAAGAAGCTGGCTGTTCGCAGAGCTCTGTGTCCAAGCACATTAACAGACAGGCGAAGGGACGGAAAAAATGTGGTAGAAAAAAGTGTACAAGCTCTAGGGATAACCGCACCCTGCAGAGAATTGTGACGACAAACCCATTCAAAAATGTGGGGGAGATCCACAAAGAGTGGACTGCAGCTGGAGTCAGCGCTTCAAGAACCACCACGAGGAGACTCATGAAAGACATGGGATTCAGGTGTCGCATTCCGTGTGTCAAGCCACTCTTGAACAAGAAACAGCGCAAGAAGCGTCTCGCCTGGGCCAAGGACAAAAAGGACTGGACTGATGCTGAGTGGTCCAAAGTTATGTTTTCTGATGAAAGCAAGTTCTGCATTTCCTTTGGAAATCAAGGATCCAGAGTCTGGAGGAAGAGCGGAGAAGCACAGAATCCACGTTGCATGAGGTCCAGTGTAAAGTTTCCACCGTCAGTGATGGTGTGGGGTGCCATGTCATCTGCCGGTGTTGGCCCACTCTGTTTCCTGAGGTCCAGGGTCAATGCAGCCGTCTACCAGGAAGTTTTAGAGCACTTCATGCTTCCTGCTGCTGACCAACTTTATGGGGATGCAGACTTCACCTTTCAACAGGACTTGGCACCTGCACACAGTGCCAAAACCACCAGCACCTGGTTCAAGGACCATGGTATCCCTGTCCTTGATTGGCCAGCAAACTCGCCTGACCTTAACCCCATAGAAAATCTATGGGGTATTGTGAAGCGGAGGATGCAATACGCTAGACCAAACAATGCAGAGGAGCTGAAGACGACTATCAGAGCAACCTGGGCTCTCATAACACCTGAGCAGTGCCACAGACTGATCGAGTCCATGCCACGCCGCATTACTGCAGTTATTGAGGCAAAAGGAGCCCCGACTAAGTATTGAGTGCTATACATGCACATTCTTTTCATGTTCATTCTTTTCAGTTGGCCAACATTAGAGAAACAAACATTTTTTCATTGGCCTTTAGAATATTCTAATTTTCTGAGATACCAGATTTGATGTTTTCATTGGTTGTCACCTATAAATATCAAAATTAAACGTAATAAACATCGGAAATACATTGGTCTGTGTGCATTGCATGAATATAATGTACAAGTTTCACGTTTTGAATGGAATTACTGAAATATTTTCAACCTTTTGATGATATTCTAATTTACTGGCCAGCACCTGTAAGTAAGTTGTTTACAGCATTTTATTTCCGGGAAAAAAAAATTCTGATGAAAGACAGATAATTTGGTATACATGCACTGTTTGTGTATGAATATGTCTTTTAAGAAAATCAACAGATATTCTTGCTGAACTTATTTTTTAATTGTATATTTCTGGATTTTTTTTAATGTACAGATGGAATTCATGTTTCATTCTAGCAAACTATGTGGGCTCGCGATTTGATGACTACAATACAAAATGTAAATAATACTGTACATTCCCTGAAGCACAGCTGTTGCAGTGATTATAACCAGGATCATTGTTATTCCTCACACCCCGCAGCAGAGAAAACTCCCCATTCTCCACTCTCAGAAATAACAGCGCTCGCTGGCCGAGCTCACCCCTCCAGCCGCTACGCCTGCAGATCAGCCTCCAGTCTGGTAAAAATGCCCTTCTGTCACTTCTCACAACAACAAACAACAATAGCCTTGAAATTGATGGGTGGGCAGAAAAGGCTGCACATGATGAATATTCTAGCTGCGTGGGACAATTTATGCTTAGATGGGAAATATTTAGGTCAGAACAAATCACAGTTGTGACTTAGCTGTAAAGATTAGATGTCTAAGACTAATTTAATATATCTACAATAAACTGTTTTCTCTCTCCTTCCTTCCCATAATAAGTTTCAGTTTAACTTGTTGATAAAATTATAAAAAAATGAAACACCACATTTATACGACTATAGACCTGCTGTCCACCCAACATAAAAAGAGCAATACCATTTAATAATATAATGTTA